AGCCAGAGGGTTTCATCGAAAAAGGAAAAGAGAATTATGTTGTAAGTTGAGAAAAGCTTGTAGGGGTTGTTTAAAAACAGGCACCAAGACAGTGGTACAAAGAAGTTTGAAGTCCTGTTATGGGGGAGTAAGCTACAAAAAAAGACTACTTCAAATCACTGTGTCGTCGGAAAGAAATTTCTCTGTATGATGACTACCATTATTCTCTTGCCTCTATGTAGATGATAGGTTGATGGTTGATTCAGATTCTATCAGAATAATAGCTTGAAGAAACAGCTAATAAGTCTTTTGCTATGAAGACTTGGGACCAGCCAAAGCAGATTCTTTGGAATGAAGATTACGAGAAATCGAAGAACCAAGAAAATTATGGTTATCACAGGAGAAGTACATTAGAAAAGTACTCAAAGGTTTAACATGGAGAATTCTAAAGCGGTTTAGATTTGTCCTCTTGCGGAATCACTTTAAATTAAGCTCAAAACAGTGCCCTTCTACCAGATGGAGAGAAGGAAAGATGGAAAAAGATCCCATTATGCTTCAGCAGTTGGAAGCTTTGGATGTTATGCCATGGTTTGTTTACACGGCCAGATTAATTGCCTCATTCAGGTGGGATAGTGAGTCGGTTTCTTTCCAAAATCCTGGAAAGGAACATTGGCTGCAGTGAAATGGATTTTCAGGTATCTTCGAGGTACGACCAAATATGTTTATGCTTTGGGAGAGATGAGAAGCCAGTTATTAGTCGTTATACCGATGCCAGATATGGCTGGGGATGTTGACTCGAGAAAGTCCACATCAGGTATCAATCACATTTGCAGGGGGAGCTGTGGCATTGGGCAGTCAAGATTGCAGGAAGTGTGTTGCGTCTATCAACATGTATTGCTCTATCAACAACTGAGGCAGAATTTATAGCACTAACAGAAGCATGCAAGGAGTTACTATGGATGAAGAAGTTCTTGAATGAACTCGGAATTCATCAAGAATGATAAATGATATTTTATGATAGTCAGAGTGAAATTCACCTTGGAAAGCATTCCTCCTTCCATTCAACATCAAAACACATTCATGTTAGATATCACTGGATCAGGGATGTGTTGGAGATGAAGCTGTGGGTCCCGTATATGAATGGCACAACCCAAGAGGGGGGTGAATTGGGTTTTCTAAAAATAAAAATTTAACTTTTAAAATAAAACTCGAAATTGTATTTGCAGCGAAAAATTAATGAACCTGTGAAAATAAGTCATTCATTAGAACTACCTCACAATGTTCTATTCAGAGAAAATAAAAAGACTTTGCGAAGTGCAGCTATCAATTAGAACTGCTTCACAATGTCATATTTTAATATTAAAACTGCTTTATGATGGAAAGCAATTGTGATTAGAACTTCCTCATAAAGTTTAGAAAATCATAAAATACTGTGTGAGAGACAGTTATCGAGGCGGTGATTGCGCTATTCAAAGGTTGGTGAAAGCAGCTCATTCTTAGGCGATGATTACGCTGCATATTCGCTAACCTCTCCTATAAATAGGAGAGGAGTTGCCTCGTTTCAGTGTGAGCCACAGATCAGTTTTATCTGTGAAGAAAAGATTTGAAAGTTTATAGTTTTAAGAAAGGGTTTTTAAAACTACGGGTTTAGAAAATAGTGAAGATTATTAGAGTGTTTTTTGGGAAACACTTGTGAGTGCCACTATTTTGTATTACTCTCGTGTAAGCCTATTATTTTGTAATAGTAGAAGAATTATTCGGAGTTGGTCGGTGACGTAGCCCTAAACAATTGAGAGTTGAAACCACGTAACTTTGTGTTGTCCCATTTTAATTTCCCTGTGTTATTATTCTCGTAATTTTATTGCCGGGTATCCTAACAAAATATTTATGTTAACCTCCTAAATATATAGTAAATGCTCAATCATTGAATATCCAAAAGGGTAAAAAGAAAAGCTTAACAAATTAAATGCGGGTACACAGTCCATGGCTTGTTACCAAAAAAAGGCTAAATCACATGTTTCAGAGTGCTTGGCACATTTTTGTTTCTACTTTCTGTGGTTTGTCTCTAAAGAAATCCTTGATCAGAGGTGACATCAGAAAGGTCCTAATAGGGTCCAAGTAGGACGAACACCGTGCAGCACCTAAATACTTCCTTCTTGATTTTGGCAAAAAGAGGATCGACTTTTATGCCGGAAAATTTCAGAATGGGAAACAAACACCCATAAGGGGACAACCGATGGCTAAAAAGATCAGCAGAAGAACAATCTCCAGGGAAAATCGCCCATAGGTAAGACTGTGAGATGCCATCAGTGTCCCACCCTAGCTGTTTTTGAAGTCGATGTCACCCACCGCTGCCCACAGATTGGCCCAGACTACATATTTTGATATTAATAATTAAGCACAACCAAAACCAGAGCAGTGGTATTACAGGGGCGAATTCAACCTAGTAGAAAAAAGTTTGCTTTAGGAAGATGAAAGGCATCTCTGTATTTTTGAAATGCCAGTAAGCAAGAATGACTAGATCAGAAAAAAATTAATAATAAACTTGTACCACTCCAAAATCACCCAGAGTGATGATGAATTTGAACATAGACCCATAGTTTTAGTGATTCCCCACTGTTTTCCAAGCAGTCCCAAAATATAATCTTTCCCTGTATTTGATAGAATACTTAATTTGTAACAAACCTAACTTAACCCACTAACTAAGACAATCCCGGTCCTTAAGGAGCCATGTCTAGCCTATTCTATACTTCTTCCAAGTTACCTATTGTTTTGCAATAGAAATTAAGGAAAAGACAAAGATGGAGATTCCGAGTGATAGATTTTTAGTGAATTCAATGGTGAGAACAGAAGCAAAATGATGCAACTCTGCATGAAGCTTGTGAGAATGGGGGTTCTGTCCTGGTAAAAAATAATGAGTCTTTCCATATCCAAATCAAATGCTTCCGGCGTAATCTAATAGTATTGAATTTATTGTCAGATTGGAGAATCATGAAGATGACAGGGAGTTGATGGAGAAGGTAAGCAATGGGGAATTCAACACTATGAGGAAAAAACTGGAAAGAAAAGATTCTATGAATCAGAAATAGCAAAAACGCTTGAATAATAAAGGAAATTGCCTCTATATAGACTGGGAGAGCACTTACTTCCATTTGGCATCGACCAACATCCAACATCCATGAAATCCCCAAACCCCAGAGGGCTTCTGGTAAGTCATTGATTCTGAACTGTACCGTTTATTTTTTCTTTATGAGAATTCCAATTTGCAACCTCACATACTAAAGATTAATCCAATAACACCGGATTGAGTGGTTTGAAATTCACAACCTTACAGCTCTAGGATTGAATCCCAATAACAGTAAGCGAAAGGAATTGTGTTTTCCATTTACTAAACATGCTCTCCAATAACTTGAGTATACAAATTATACATGCAGCAAAATCCATGGATGAGTACATTACTCAATTGCATAAAGATGCAGAGAAGATTTTTCTGAGGCTCATGTGTTGAGAACCTTGGTTTGAGGGAAGCATTATATAAAGGAAAGCATTCTCAGGAAAGAAGGTCCATCTGCTGGGAACAAAAGTCGCCTAAGTACCCCTTCAGTGTTCACAGCCAGAGCTTGTAGAGGACTTAGAGAAGGCACACTGATGCTGGAGGGATCATATTGTTGCTCCAAGACGATCAAAGTCCCAGTCTTTGAATTTTGCAAAGATGGGCAATGGGTAGAGATCCCTCCATCCAAGAACATAGAATTTTTGTGAATACTTGGTTGATTCAATTGGAAAGTCCTAAGTAATGGAAGGTATAAAAAGTGCTTTGCACCGTGTCATGGGCCTGACAAGAATGGAAAGCAGACTATCTATTGCCACCTTCTACAACCCTGCTGTGATGCTATAAATTTCTCCAGCTCCCAAACTCATGTACCCTAGTAGCTACAGTTTTTTCAAGATTACCTAAAGCTTTTATGCCACCACAAAAGTTTTCAGACAAAGGGACCTCCATCCAAGAACAATAGAATTTTTGTGAATACTGGTGATCAATTGGAAGTCCTAAGTAATGGAAGGTATAAAAGTGCTTTGCACCGTGTCATGGCTGACAAGAATGGAAGCAGACTATCTATTGCCACCTTCTACAACCCTGCTGGTGATGCTATAATTTCTCCAGCTCCCAAACTCATGTACCCTAGTAGCTACAGTTTTCAAGATTACCTAAAGCTTTATGCCACCACAAAGTTTTCAGACAAGGGACCCAGATTTGAATCCATGAAGAAAATGACCAATGGACAAAATGGCATCCATGTCTAAAATTACCAAAAAGTAATGCTCCTTGCAGGTTTCTCTGTCAATTGGAACTAGGATTATCTACATAAGGAATGGGAATATTATTTAATTAGCAATATTATCTGAAGCCCTCTGCTATTGCAAAGCATTCAAAAAGGGCCCTAGATTCATACCCAGGAAGATGGTACTGGGCATCATAGGCTTTTGATTCAAAAGTACCTCGTGTAATGCTCATCCATAGATTTCTTAGACGTTTTTTTTTTTAAATAAGATGTGAAGCTTTTTTTCCCCTTGTCTAATTAGCTAAGGCTTAGTGGTGGTGGTTGTTGTTTAATTAGTATTCCCTGATTTCCAAAGATTCTTCTATGTTTCCTTTTGCCATTTATTTTCTCTAAGCATCGTGGAAGATGAAAATTACCCAAATGATTAAAACTACAGAAACTAGAGTAGCATAAATATCTCCTATGATAAGCATAAATTATGCATGAAGTTGCATATGTAATAAAATATAATAACTGGGAACTACCGTAGCAGTCATAGCTCCTTCGGATATAAGTTCGAAATTTCTATATAGCTTGCCCCCTTGCCTCATGATTAAAACCTATGTTTCAACAACCCAAAGTTCAAACAACCTATATACCTATATCAAGTGAGAATTAAAATATTTTACATTTTATGTAGCACTTAAACTGATTTAGACTCGCAGAAACAAAAAAGAGAAAAAAATCACTAAAAACCAATTTAGAAGCTAGAAGCTAGCCAATTTTGATAAAATAGATTTAGTAACAATAGTATTGGTTTGCCCAACCGACTGTTCCAGTGAGAGCTTATGAAACTTCAATAATAAAGAACATTTGGTAATGAAACATAACAAAAAGTTCCCAAATTTTAGAGATTTTGAGAACCTCTGAGCTAGTTCTTGAACCCGGAGAACTATTTGATCAACTGAATCTTGAGTTAAGTTGACATTAAGATTTAAAACGTTATGGAAAAGGTTAAACAATGATTCTGTCCATACCAGTTCATCGGATATCAGACACTGGTGGCAAGGAAGACAGGTGAATCTTTTCCTGCCTTCTCCACATAGCAGCTTATGGCAAAATGCTGAAACATGAACTGAATGTAAGCATTCCTTAAGAATCCTTGTGATGACATCACATATAGCGTTATTGATGCCACCAGTTCTCATTATCAAAGGAAACAATAATGCATATTCCGCAGCTTTTTGGTGAAGCTTGCAGTAGTGTATCATTGCAGTCACCAGCACACGAGAAGCTGGCTCTTCAAGAACCAGCATCTTTGGAAGTACAATTGAACTGAGAACTTGACTTGGCCATCCAAGCTCTTCTTGATCAGTTCCAATTGAAAAATGAGAAATAAGAATGGAAGCAATCTCATCATCCGCTTTCCAAGGTTCAATCAAATCCAGAACCGCAAAAGAATTTCCTCCTTTCTCAAGACAAAGCTGGCGAATTCTATCAGCTAATTCTACGGTTTTAGAGCGAGACTCAAAATTCATAACTTGGGCTCTCAGACTAGCCGCCACGTTTTGAATTTCTGGCTCCAAAGGATCATTCACAGCGCAATCAACCTCCATTTCCTCCACAATTTTGTCCACTATTCCATCCTCTCCGAACTGAGTCGATGAATCTTGTTCACTGTCATGAATACTGAACAATTCCCTTGAATGCAATTCATCAAGTGACACGGGCAGCCACGGGAGAACCGATTGAGCAGCACTAGTGGCATCCTTAAGACAAACTGGGAAAGAGTCAAACTCTTCATCAACTCTCTGCTCTCCAGAATCCAAATTCAAGCCCGAAATCCATTCATAGTTTGAGTCAGACACTTCATCGAGCAGATGGCAGGCAGCACTCTTGACCCAGAAATCTATCCCCTGATCATCTGACAACAAACTCCTGGCCAAAATAGACAAGTCCCGTTTGGAAAATATCTCGTGCTCAAAAGCAAGAAAGGATAAAATTCTCGACTGCACCATATTCGGCAATGTCTGTATAAACATAACCCTGTAAATAAAACAAGAGTAAGAGGCAATGAAATTCAACATAAAAGAAAAAAAAAAGGGAAAATTGACCAACATTGAGTTTTTAGAGGCATGAATTTACTTCTTTGTGGATGGAGGAGATGAGCAACTAATAATTGCATCAATGGATTTAGTGAGTAAAGTGATGAACGAGCCTGTGGTGACCGGGGTGGATGATGAAGGATTGAAAGATTGTTTTAACCACAGAGATGCTTCGGTTTCTGGCGTCAAGGAGTTGAGGAAGATATCAAAGAGTGGAACCCATTGCTCCATTTCTGTTCGATTATCTTCTCTTTTCTGCTGTGGATAACGGAAAATTTTGGGAAATTCCTATCGAAAATGCGGGAAAAATAGTTTGAACTGAGTGGTGTGGAAGAGTAGAGGCGTGTGCACTCTTAAACTCCACGTTGCGCACACGATTTGTCGTTCAAATCTTTTGGCGACGGATTGGTTGCTTTTGTCTATGATGATTATGGACGACGTGTAGTTTAACTGATGATTTTATGAGTCAAGAGCCATTATTCCCTGCGTTAAATTTTAGCACACGGGTAGCTCACTCCATTACAGCCGGATCACTTACAGAATGTGCGACGTGTAGTTTTAATCGTTAAGCAGAATATGACTTGTCACCAATACATTTTTATTTTTTTTAACAGAATAAACTTTATTTACGTCTGAAAGGAAAACTGAAAATTTCCAAATTATTATAATGCACAGGAAATTAGAGTTTTTCCTAATTAAAAAAAAAAAAGTCAACAGTAAACAGAGCAAGTTGCTTCTCAAAAGTTCGATATGCCCCTGAATTGCAGGATTAAAAAAAACAAATACTCGGGATACTAATTTCGGCGTTTCATTTCATGTCAAAACGCGTCATCTTAGAAGGTGGAGATATGGACGGCCAACCCCACATGGCATTGTCACAGGGGAAGCTTCGGGTCACTCCCCAGTCCCCACATGCAGGATTTGCACGATTACATGACCATATTAATCTCCTTATCCTCGCTCTAACGCACCGTTGGTTTCAATTCTTTGAAAGAGCTGTAAAATTCATTTCAAATGAATTTCGTATCGCATTTGATTTTTTTTTATTCAGGAATAAATTTAATTAATCAAAATAATATAATGGACGATACAAAATTAAAAGAATCTCGTACTAATAAAAAGATCAATAAAACTTTTTAGTATTTGATTTCATACAATTTAAAATACGTAATTTAATCAAATTTTAAATTATATCTATTTAGTATGATCCTAAAATTAAATTTTGTTCGTCTTACTTTCTAAAATACTATATTAACCTTTAGAAACAATAATTGTTAATGTATTAATAAAATTAATTTAAATAAATAACCATACCGATTATAAAAGTTTGAAGTTCCATATATTCTATTCAAGTACTGTAGGATTTATACAGAACACGTTTGAGACAATTTTTATACCAATTTTTGAATTCGAGAAATTTTTCCGACCAAAATTAATTTTACATGTGTAAATCACACTCACAATTACTTGAATGATTTATTTCTATGTAGTATACAGTATATAGTATGGTCTTAAGAGGTTGAAAGTTAGTCAAAAAAATTCACAATAAAAACACTACTATAACAGAAGCAAACCAAAGCCTCATCTTCAACTACCACTCCCTCACTCTCTCTTCCACTCTTTCTCCAAATCCATCACCATGGGTGTAGCCAACAACATAACAGCAGTTCTTAATTTCGTAGCCTTTCTATGCTCAATTCCCATAATAGCTTCCGGTATCTGGCTTGCCTCCAAACCGGACAACGGGTGCATCCATCTCTTCCGCTGGCCGGTAGTCCTTCTCGGAATCCTCGTCCTCCTGGTCTCGCTCGCCGGCTTCGTCGGCGCCTACTGGTATAAGGAGACACTCCTTGGTTTCTATCTCTGCTGCATGGCCATTCTCATCGGACTTCTCTTAATTCTACTCGTTTTCGCTTTTGTTGTCACGCGCCCGGATGGCGGGTATGATGTTCCCGGGAGAGGTTATAAAGAATATAGGCTTGAAGGATTTTCCTCTTGGCTGAGAAATCACGTCGTGAATTCAAAGAATTGGGTTAAAATTAGGAATTGTTTGGCTGAGAGCGATGTCTGTGCTAAATTAAGTCAGAATTATATCACTGCTGATCAGTTCTTCACCGCCCATATCTCTCCTCTTCAGGCAAGTTCTTTTCTTTCTTCAATTTATCTTTTCACATTCTAAATTTGATTATTAAGGGTATTAGCATATAATGGAATCTTATCTTTTCTGCTTTGTGCTAAGCTTGTAGCAATGTCCATTTGATATTCAAGTTTTATATTATGCTCATTGCTCACTCAAATGGCTGTACAGCTATACTTGGATAAAACTTGAAGGACAGGAATGAATCTATAATTTTTTATTCTTTGCTTAAACTGTTAATTTTAGTCTCCTTCTTCACATGTAAATAACTACAAGAGAGGGAATTTCAATTTTATTTACTAATTAAGCTTTCTAATATACTAATTGTTAGTGAATTGAGTTCTTTCTATTTGTGAAATCATTTAAATTGGGAAGATTTGAGGTGTTGGTTAAAAGAAGCTGCTGGAATGATAAGACGTAGCTAGACCTAGATGTGCAGTGCAGGAAGAAGGTGGTTCAAGGCAGGACCCCTTTTTTTTTTTTTGTAAGTTTTGCCTTGAAAGAATTTTAATGGGACCCTCATGGCATTATAGATGTTGATTTAGCACTTAAAACGGATTAGAGTTTTGTGGTCCATATTAATTAGTTAACTTTTTGACATTTCATATCTTTAATTATAAATCAGAAAGACTTGTTTTTTGATAATGCACTAGAAAGAAACAGAACCATGTCAATTGTCATGCTGTGTGGGGCATTCTTGGTACTCTAATGATGGAAAACGGAATTCTTGAAAATGAACCCAGGAAAGTTTGTGCCAATAGATTACCTACCAACTAGATCAATTATGATAAATCATAGAATGCAGAGTAAAGTAAAGTAATCCCTTGCATTATTATGGTCATCCATTTGTCTTTATTGCAGAAGATAAAAAAAGAAAAATTAAAACCAAAGAAAAATTTCCACACTGTGGAGCTTATATGGTTGACAGCTATGTAATGTATTGGTGTTTGGTGGGATGCTTTCCTTTGCTTTTCTTTTTCTCGTGATTAATTCCTTTTGTTCTTTCTCTTAATTTAAAACTAATGAGAAACTCTATGTGTCACAGTCAGGGTGTTGTAAGCCCCCAACAGTTTGTGGGTACAATTATGTGAATCCAACACTATGGTTAAACCCAGCAAACCCAACAGCAGACCCAGACTGTTACTTGTGGAACAATGACCAAAGCCAGCTCTGCTACAATTGCAATTCTTGCAGAGCTGGTTTGTTAGGGAATCTAAGGAAAGAATGGAGAAAAGCTAATATCATCCTTATTGTGGCAGTGGTAGTGCTTATTTGGGTGTATCTAATTGCCTGTAGTGCCTTCAAGAATGCTCAAACTGAAGATCTTTTTCGCCGATACAAACAGGGTTGGGTTTGATCTTGTTGCCAAGGACAGCACAACTTCGAGTTCTGATACTGTTGTTGGGTTGGTGTTTTTTGCTTGTCTGTTTTATCTGATATCTCCTGTATTTTCTGTGGCCTTTGTCATTAGGTGTATATATTCTTCTTTGTACTTTATTATCTACAATGCATGGACTGACAGTGAACACTCCTAGAGAAACCACTTGTGAAATATGATACTAGAATTAGAATCTCAATTATCACCTTTCACGAGAATTTGATTCTTAATTTTTAATTTTAATGGCTGTTGTAGCTTCCTGGATTCTCTTTTCTTTTTTCCTTTTCAGACATCTTGGACTCTCCATTTATAGTTTTCCACTTTGCCATTACCTGTAATTGTTCACATGCTGACAAATGACAAGCGTATGTTGCTCCACGAAAAGTATATTTTTTTTAAAGGAAAAAAAAGGCACCGACTTCACCGACTGGCAAAGCAGTACTTTTTGCTCTTCCAAATGTTGGATAAACTATTTGTTTACGTGTGATTATAAATTCATAATACAAGAAGCAAGAAACTTACTACGTGTGCTTTCAAGAAACTGGCAAGGCAGCACTTTTTGATCTTGCGAATCTTGGATAAACAATATTGTTTACGTATATGATTGTAATTTCATAGAACAAGAAACAAGAAACTCACCGTGTCTTCTATGTTTCAAGATTTCAAATATTTTGGTCTTTAGAACTAAACATAAAGATTATACATAAAGTTCAAGAAAAGTGCCTAATTCTGCTTCTGGAGTGTTTCCGAAAAATGATTATATCATAAATAATAAGGATGTATTGGTAACAATTTCAAGTCTTTCAATCTTGATCCGTATGGGTTTTTACGCCAGCAAATGGCTCTTCCTCTGGCACTGAGAAGGTGAAAGTTAATATGACAGTTCGACGACTAAAATAATGGGGGAAAGCATAAATTCAGTAGCCACAAAATTTAGGCTGTCAATCTTCAATCTGTCCATGGCCGCTCAAGCTATAGATGCTTTTTTCTAGAGTAAACAATGTACATTGGATCGGAACGTCCAGGGTTAGGAGATATGTCCACAGCCTGTAGAAAAATGCAAATCAGTCATTTCTAACATATAAAAAGAAAAGATCCAATATGAATTTTTTTGCAAAAGATTGGGAAACAACCAACAGTAAAGCAATAAGAAATGCAATTTTGCTGTGAGTGGATTTTTTCCGTCTTAAATCAACTATCAATGGAGTAAAGTCATGATATGCTCTCACAGGAAAGGAAAACTTCAAGGTCATGAAGCTAACTCCTTATTATCACTAAATAGATTACCAAGAAGTTGCTTACCTGAGGAGGTTCAAATCCTCCAGCATAATGGAAATATGATCCCACAATCAACACATGATCAGCATCACCAGTTGATGTCCATATAGAGATTGCTTTTGTCCAAAAGCAACGATTAGAAAAGCTGATACCCAAAGGCATTCCACAAAATTAGAAATGGCAAGCAGAATGAAAAAGAAAAGTTACATAATTGAGAAAACAAGACATGCTTTACAGTAGATCAGTTATCCAACATTTTATTGCAGGAGCATAACTTCTGTACATTGTTTACCTATTCAACTGAACCTTAAATCCTAGACTCCGCATTCAACTTCTTATCAATAACAGAGAAAAGCCTACAAGTTACAGTGTACCCTTTTTTTTGTTTGATTGACATTTGCAAGCTGGAATTCTGAAGTTTGCTAAATTGTTTGAGAATCAAGATAACAATCTAAAACAAACTCTGTGTAGATAAACAAAACTAATAATTTTGTTATATCTCGAGGAATTGCTTCATGAAAATAACCATGCTTTAAACAGATGACAAAACAATTTTCAATGAACAGATTCTTCTACAAAATCAAAAGTGGACAAAAGTTCTTCTCACCTCATTATAGCTAATCCACCAGGCTTAAGTATCCGGCACATCTCCTTGAACACATCAAGAGGCTTTGTTAGGTAATCAACACTGACCTATGAATTGCTCCAGCAAAGTTCAAAAAGCAAAATTTAATAGTCATTAAACATAATTTCCAAGGAAAATCCCAAACAATTCCTGTAAAAGAAAAGGAAAAGAAAAGAACTGACAATAATCTATATAGCAGAAATTGGAAAATGACAAGGAATCTTACAATAAAATGGTGGCAGCTGAGGCGATCACTTTGCAAGAAACTATAGTTTGCAAGTTATTTCTAGAATGTGATGCAAAAGAGATTAAAGATTTATTTTGTAGCCTCAGTACCAACATTATGCTTGGGGGGTGACATATAAAACCTGAAATCTTATGCAGTCCTAAGTGAATCCAATAAGTAACAACAACAATCAGAACAATTTCCATGTCAATTACAAAACTCTCATCATCTCATTGGAAAATAGGAGTCTCACAAAAAAATTTACTGGTGAATGGTTCTTATCATATTCTGCTCATAGAGACATTATCTTCAATTTTAAAGAACCAGCCCCTAAAAAACCCGTGAAAGTAAAAATCATCAGCCATGATACCAGCTTTTTAGGGCAAATAAGAACCATTGAGGACAACTGTTTCAAAGAACCACAACTAAGCAGAATTTTTGTTCAATTAAGGACATAAGGAAATTCAAATCTCAATTTTGTGAAACTAGTTCCTCAGAAGAATGTAAGAGTGCACTATTTAGAGACGATCAAATATGAGGAGAAAGGAAAAACAAACATACCACATTAGTTATGACATCAAAGGAATTATCTTTAAATGGAAGTTTAGGATTCAAATTTAAGTCTTGAACAATATATTCTGTCAAAACCTACAGATACAATAACCCAATCAGTGGATTGTTTTAACTTGTAATCAATAAAAAGATTATATTTACTAAGTATCATACAGGATTCTGCTTAAGCTCCTCTTCATTCATGCCTTGTCCAACTATTCTTTCCTGCTTGTATCCTTTTGGAAAATGGCTGACCTACATATAAAAAGCCAGGGATGAGGTCCTGTTAACGAGGATATTCAATACATAATTAGCTTGGAATACCAATTAGAAATGTCTCACCCAACTGCTACACATGTCCAGAATGCTAACTCCAGGAGTATTGCTGGGAGGGAAAACCTCTGAGTAGTACTTAGTCAGTGCAGCAATGGCTGGATCATCAATGTGCGTTACAAATCGGGGAGCTTCATAGAATAATGAGTCTGATGACCTTAAAATAACAAATTTTGAGATTCAGAGTTTTCTACAAACTCAGTTCTTAAGATGAATACAGATCAATTAAAATCCAAAATGTTTGAAGCTACTACAAGGTATAAAAACACTGTTGGGTAAAACAAACTCTGCAAAAAAAAATCACTCTACTAAGCCTAACTTTGAAGTATAATGCATTATCAGTAATATTTGTAACATCGTATTCCACCTCAAGCATACAAGTTATAGCATGGAAAGCAGAGAGGATAGATAGCCTATACTATATGTGAAGCAACTGTAATTTCGTAACTTGTTTTTATATACACCGTAACAGTTCAGATTGAGCAAAGCATCACCAACTTTCAGTAGATGGTCACAACCAAAATTACAGGCCAACACCTATGAAAAGACGACCTCAAATGGGAAAAAAGAAGAAAAAGAAAACGTACACAGAATTTAGTGAAAGTAATAAAATCTAGTTTAGGGCATGGCCTTTACTCATCAAACCGCTGGAAATCCTCCTCCTTAAAGGGAAACTGCGCTGGCCATTCAACATTCTTCAATACCTAAAAATTCAAGGCAGGTAGGAAAATAGAAGTGACAGTTAGCATCCAAGATAAGCACAAAATTTTGAACAAGTGAGATAATTCAAAAAATAAGACCATGCTATGGCCATGGCTCAAAAGCTCTCTTAAAAGAAAGTGAAGGGAAATATGAGACCCATCGAAATGCAAAATTTTCAGGCTACATGTACTAAATGAAGGAGGTTTTTTTTTTTTTTTCCAAAAGAAATTCTTTCTGTTAGCTCTTAACGTTTTATTATCTTCCATTTTAAAGAAGTGATGCTCAATTTCTGTGCAAATATGGAAAAATAACTTTACAAGATGAATGTCCTTCCTATGCATCAAAATTCACAGAAAACCAATACAGCAGGAAGGATAATCTATCAAATTCCTAAAGAATCAAACAGACCTCTTAAAAGGTAATTAGAGGCCATAAAACAACTTGTTCACTAGTCCTTTACTTTTTCTTGTACAAATTACAAAAAAAAAAAAAAGTTCAAATTGGAGCAATCCACAAGCCATAATAACACAATCATTCAAACACCCTCCATAAATCTAAAACCCCCATTCCATTAAAAAAAATCAAAATCCGAGAAAACCAAGAGACCAAATTCAAGAAAAGAATCATAAAGGCTGAAAATTCACCTCTTCAACAGCACCCTTTTGCCTTGCAGAAGCAATGAAAGATTTGCCACCTCCACCTGCACTACTCATGCTCATAAACTGCGCCCAAAATGAAGCCCCTAGTCCTAACACTAGCCTACGGGGTGGTCTGAATTCACTGCTCCACTTCCTCTGCTGTTTCTTCGTGATACAAGCACGGTAAGAATAAACAGTAGCTACAACTGGTATCCTTTGCTGCAGTTTCAAACATAGTGGATTGGCCATCTTTGACATTTTCACTTGCTAGAATATATATGTTTGTATTTAATTATTTATATGTTGGAATTGGTTTTAGAATAAGCCAATAACGTGTTTGGCTTGTCACCGTAGGATTAGCTGACGATATGCACAGTTTTTATGGTTTAGATTTGCTCTCGCGTTTCTGACGTACCTGCCGTTTGCGTGGTTGGTCTTTTACTCTTTTTCCCTTTTTCTTTTTTTAATTTTCTTTATGGATAAATTACTATGTAGTCCCTGAATTGTTTTGACTATCATTACTATTTGATCCTTGCAGTTTGTATAAATAGTTGGATCATCCCTATATTAAACTATTTTGTCATATTTACTATTAAGTGAGGGATTACGTATAAAAAGTTTTCCTTGGAAATAGTTGTTTTATAATTATCGTTTTCCATTTTCTAAATCAAAATAAACATAAACACTGCTCTTCTTTTTATTTTCCTTCTTTTGTGCACATGTACACGTAAACAAATATTTATTTACACGAATACACTAAATATTTATATAAGGTATATCTAATGTAGACATTTGATGTAAATAAGGGTATGGAGTATTTATACAAAATATAGGATTACGTAGAAAAAGTTTTTCCTATGGAAATAGTTGTTTTATAATTAAATCTTTTTCCATTTTCTAAATCCAAAATAAACATAAAACACTTGCTCTTCTTTTTATTTTCCTTCTTTTGTGCACATGTACACGTAAAACAAATATTTATTTACACGAATACAAGCTAAATATTTATATAAGGTATGATCTAATGTTAGACATTGATGTAAATAAGGGTTATGGAGTATTTATACAAAAAATATATATATATATATATATATATAGATATATACATATTACACACAAACATGCAACCACTTCAAAGTGAAAGGCATGTACTCTTTAATTTCATATTCTCCGTTGATTTATGATGGTGAAGCTTGAAAAACGAAAAAGCTATACATATAATGTTGATGGCTGGAGGTTTAAGGCGCTAGAAGATGGCCCCTCTCGTGGAGGAAGGGTAGTGTCCTTACCACTGGCAACTTCTTTTCTTATCATTATATACATATACACACAAACATGCAACCCTTCAAAGTTGAAAGTGCATGTACTCTTAAATTTCATATTCTCCGTTGATTATGATGGTGAAGCTTGAAAACGAAAAGCTATACATATAATGTTGATGCTGTAGGTTAAGGGCTAGAAGATGGCCCCTCTCGGTGGAGATAGTGTAGTGTCCTACCACTGTCAACTTCTTTTCTTCATTTTTGTTGGGTTCTGGCGGTGGTTAGGTTAGGAAAGAAGGAAGAAGAAGAGATAATTTATCTTTGATATGTAAGAGATGCTTTCAGCTTTCTCAGGTACTTCTTGTTTTGGCTTTAGACAGACAAACAGATCTATAAAAAAGATTTTATTCAAATCGACAAGACAAATAAATTTTCCATATATATATATATATATTTGCAAATCAATTAATTAAAAATTACTCTTTTTTTTTTAATTTCAGCTCCTCGTCCACTTAATTTAATTTTATTTTGAAATATGACAAAAGTCATTTTTTTATTATTATATATAGATCGGAATTTATGTATTTTTTATTACAAATTAAAACTTAGACAAAATGAAGTACATTAATGCTAATTTGTTTTTGGTTTCCTCTATTTGATTTATCAAAGGCCTAGCATATTGGGTTCAGACCAGAAAATAATTAAAATATCTTAAATTAAATATATTCAGGCGGAAAAGGCAGGTAATCATTACCGAAAAGAAAATAAAAAAAAGGTGGGTACGGGGCCTCGATACCTCGAGAATTAGCTATGCGCATGGAAGGAGGAAGGAAAACCTGTTACTTAAAATGGAAGAAAGCACACTTGAAATAGTACCCTCTAACCATTATGTAACTAGCTATCTAGTTGGTGGAACAGCACGGGAGATCAGGTGTGTGGTCTACAAAAGAGAGGCCGACTGATTTGCCTCCGCATGATGGAGACAAGGCACTCTTGCACTTAATTTACAGTGTTTAGTCCAAGTGAGGAGCCAATATATGCATAGATTTTCTATCTCCAAAATTTTGGCCTTTGCTAAATTGCTTGAACGTAAAGGCAGATTCATGTCTATATATGTAAGTGAAAATAAAATTGTCGTACCTTCCATGAGTCTTCTAAATAGATGTAGGGCAGTGATATTCGAGCTTTTATATAATTGACACGTCGCGTTGAACATAGCCACAATTTTAATTGAATTGCATATCTATGTGTTACAATAGATAAATCTATCAATTATATTGTCGTACTGTATCTGTTCAGCCAAATAGTATGGTATATAATTTCCCACATTATATTATATTGATCTATTGCATTAGCAAATTATTATAAATAGCTCATAAGATTCCATTATAGACAAGCAAAGCATTTTCTTGATTTCTTCTCCTTGTAAATCAAGAAATTCAAGCAATCAGGATTTTCTACTAGCAAGAATCATCCATGGAGTCACAATGGAAAGAAAGAAAACCAAAATCTAGAAGTTGTTATTCAAATCAAAGAGAGCTCAAACTTATCGATTGCTTGATTAACACAGATGATAACAATTCATCTAAAGCTCATCGCGACGATGATGTTTTTGCAAGAGTTTTCTCATGCAACTATTGTGAAAGGAAATTCGATAGCTCTCAAGCACTTGGAGGACACCAAAATGCGCATAAAAGAGAGAGAATTCTTGCGAGAGGACAAGTTTTTGGTGGCTACCCTTATTTGCACCACCATTGTTATCGTTCAAGCATGGCTACCGTCTCTCTTCCTCTTAATAGAATTAAACTGAACTCAACTTTTCATTATAAACATGAAAGCTTGAACTTCTCCAGGCCATCGATGAAACAAGAAGCTCAAGTAGCCATGAAAAAGGTGTCAAAGGAGAACTGTACTTTAAATGCAACACCATCGTCACTTGCAAATGTTGGTACGTTCCTTTTACAGAAGACTATTTTAGGTTCAGATTCCGCAGCTGATGAGCAGACAATTTGTAATTATCTTTCAAATACTAATGGTCAAGATGATATACTTGACTTGTCCCTTAAGCTCTAAGATTTGTTACTCGTTTTGTAGTCAATCTATGTATGACACAAAAAGCAAAGGCATCAAAATAGCCCCAAACAGCTTAAAATAGAGGAACCTAATTAAGTATTTATAAACTAGTGTAACTCTTGATAAGACTTTAAAAATCAGTCGAACCAATTTAAGCTGAGTAATAATATATTGAGTTTGAGCTCGGCTCAATAAAGATTCAACTCATTTATAATTTCTAGTTAAATTCAGGTTCAAGCCCGAACTAACTGTTTTCTAATAAAGCCTCAATAGCTTACAAGCAGAGCATCAATTATTTACAGCCAGGTCCTGGGTCCGAGGTTTAAGACCTGCACCTACACCTATTTGCTTTAATACCTTTAACTCTTCCAGAATCTCGTTTTCCTTGCCTCTTCGCCCCTGGGCAGGGAGAGGAGGGGGCAATTGCCCCCTTCTTTTTTAGCCTTTGGGGGTGGGTAAGTGCAGTTGGTGGAGAAACAAGATGCTGTTGTGGGTTTACAGGAAAAGTTACAAAATAAAATAACTAGTTTACATATGGGTAGTTTTTGTCCGACTTAAACAAAAGGAAAAACACAATAGCAATGCATATTCAGTGTGGTAATTTTCAAGGTTCTAGATTTGCATATCCAATGTATGAAGCAATAATTAATAAAGGGATAAACTAGATGAAGACACGATGCTGTTTTATTCTATAGCTCATTGTCATTAGCAATCAAATCAAGAGGAAAGAATGTAAAAAAAAAAAAAGAAAGAAAAGCAAAGAATTTTCTCATCTATAAAGGATAAAAAAAAAAAAAGAACTCTCCAATGAACCTCCCTAGGAATCAGAAAATGAAGAAGATGCAGCATTTTTAAGAGGCACAGTGGCTGCCATATTAGCTCCACCAGCTGCACGCAATACGCCAGGCGATCCAAACCCTTCTTCATCCTCCATAAACATCAAATCCTCTGTTTTTCTAAATGTTCCATGAACCAAAATAACCACCACTCCTATAAACAAAGCAACAATGATATTATCCGTTACATCTGTAAGGAAAAGCATGGTAATTGTAACCATCAACAAGAATACCATCACGGCTTTATCATAAATTACAATGTCAAAAACCACTAGAGGATCATCCCTCAGGAAATACAAGAACAGCCATAGAGCCATCATGATTATAAAGACGATTAGTGAAATAGGATGCCAAAGCAGGCTGAGGAAAAGAATGGACAATATGACAATAACATAATTATAGCGAAAGAATGCTATATTTATTTTTATTTTTTGAACAGATTCGTTTAATGAAGATGGAAGGTTGAAAGATTGTGGATTGATCATTTCTTTCCATGATCTTCTTGTTCCAAGGCTCGTCTCGATCCTTTCCTTTGCGTTTGAAATGATGCGTAAGTTTTCTGATGGGTGTGGTTCTGCAGGTATGGTTCCATAAGTTGTCATATTTCTGATGATCTATAGAGACAAAAACTGGTGGCGGAGATGAGGAAATCGTAACGAGGAGGATGGAGAAGAAAGTGGACATAACGGTTTTCTAAAAGGCTAAGAGAGCATGAGAAAACAGGGATGGTTTATTTATGTTAGGATATTACTGCGTTGTAACGAGGGATTTTTTTTTTAATTTATTAAAAAGTCTGAAATAATATCATAAATACAATAACGGAACATTATCCTTAACTCACCAAATCGTAAAAACTCGAATTGTATAAAGTAATGTCAAAATCAAAAACCCCAAAATTATCTTTATATGTATCAATATACTACAAATAATATATTTACATGTATATTACAGTAATCATATATTTTAAGAAAATTTCCATCATTTCAGTGTTATTTCGGTTGAATTTAATTTCCAATGAAATTCAGTTGAAAAAAATATTCTATTGTTTTTAGCTTGCTTAATTTTGAGTTGAACCAAACTATGTGTACTCCCTGTATAAAATAAAGCCCCAATCTCATTGGGTCCAGCAGTCTAAAGGTTAAATATTGAAGAACCTTCATCTATCCAACATATAAGAGAACAGGAAACAGGAAAAAGGTCTTGGGAAGACATTTCAATTGATGAGATGATTTGTTACATACTAAGAAAAGCATCTTTTTGGTTCATGGAAACACCAGGTTTTCTCAAATACAAAACATGTCTCAAGAAGTGACTAAATAAACTTCCTTCACATTTGGGGATTGAGCAACAAAACAACATAGTATATGATAGTTAGCTAAAATCTGTGAAACCTGTGACATTTGCACAATATAAACTAAGAAACTCAAGACAAATAAAATGATTGTTATGGTTTTCACTGATTGGTTGTCGGAACCTCTCCTCTAAGCACCTTCCAAGGACCAGAGTAGAACTTTGGCTTCATGAGAGGCACTGCCTCACCAGGGTGATCTTCCCAGTACTTCTCCTGTTTAAACCAAGAGGCAAAATTCTTCAATTAGAGCCCAGACAGTGAATTATAATAATTTCAATGACCCACAAATAAGTTTGAAGACCAAGTTACAATAATTGATATAGTCAGATTATGTAGTAGAAAATAGAAATGCTGTTTTCACCCAATGTCTAGAAAGATAAAAAAAAAAGTGCATAAATGAAAGCTCACATAGAAACCAATGACAAAACCTGATGATAAATGAACAAGAAACTAAAACCTAAACAAAGTGGATATGCAGAGGCCATTATACTACTTTGAATCGCTGCAAAATGCTAATCAGAGTGACACGAGTAATCAAACAAATATAAAGAATAAATTTCCATTTGGAGTTTTCTCAAATCAACTTTTTGTTGTCCTAGAAAATTGAAAATGCTTGAATTGGAACTCATCTAGGTTTCTTTTTCCTTTCTTCATAGCTTAAATGTAATCCTTTGGAAGAAAGGCCGGATTTTTATGAATAGACTTCTAGCAATTGCAATTTTGGAACAAAGTTACGCCATTTCCATGATTAATCAGCCACTATAATTTGATAAATACACTGGAGAGAACCACTCCAATAAATTTCTCTCAGATTCAATCAAAAGCTTCAAAACCCAAACAATCAATCTATACTAAGCAAGAGCTTGAATAGTCAAAGCCAAAATTGAAACAAATAAATAAAATAAAATTAAAAAAACAAGTCGACTTCCGACGCAAAAAGCTGAGAGAAAAAGTCGATGAAAGTAATGGAGTTTACCTTGTAGAGTTGCTCAGTGATGGCTGAGCCAATAACTCCAGTGTAGAAAGCGGCTATATAAATAGTGACCAGAGGAGTAAAAGATTTGGGTCTCCTGTACGGATCAATCATATCCCAAAGAATCGTCCTCTCCCACTTGGTATACAGATATTCTGCGTATTTCCTCCATAGATAGCTCGCCATTTTCACACACTCTCTACTGGCTTTTCTTGCTTATCGGCGTATTAGGTACAAATTGTTTGCGACAGAAAATCGGAAAGATAAGGATTGTCGTCGGAAGTTGAAAACCCACGTACGTAGCGGGCGTAGATGGGCAAGTGGGCTAAAGGATGAGGCCAAGAGTAAAGACGGTAAAATTACAAAATTGGAGCTTTTTATAAACGTTTAATATTTAACTTTTAATTATTTTTTTACAATTATATTCATTTATATTCATTTTTTTTCTCAATTAATTAAATAATTAATATCTTTTTTCGTGAGTTTAAGTTACTTCTTAGACAGGTAATTATCAAATGCTTCTAATCCGGAGACAAAAACACTTGGAAAATCGAAAAAAAAAAAAAAAGCAATTGGCGTTTGACACTTAAGCCTCAACTATTCAGTGGAGCATCAACTGAAAATTCCCTGGCTTCTTTGATCAAGTGCAGAATAAGTCAGGTAAAAATTACTCCCAAGTGAAGTTTCACTTCCATTTAAGAGTTTTTGAGGTACAAACATAACAGGCAGAGCAAGAATTACAAAGAATGCCTGGATGAGAATTTTTGCTTTGATTCTTTTACAAAGAAAAATGAAAATATACAGAATAACAGTGGATACCATGCCATGGAGGTCTATTAGACAGGCAGCATAATACACCAGATAGCATGTTATATAGACAAATATTTAAACTAAAAAGCCCTATGTTTATGCCGCTCCTGTTGGCTTCTCTCTTGGAGTCGATACTGATTCAAGAGTAATTTCTTCAATTCCCATTGATGGACTGCCGCCGCTGCTGCTGCTGCTGCTGCTTTGGGTTGTGTTGTGCGTTGCAATAGCATCCTTTATTTTTTGAAACTGCAGTTGATTTAGGGTCAACAAATAACAGTCAACATCAACTTGTAAAGAGAAGTTGGAAAATTGAAAATTTCTGTACTAATTTATTCCATGTTATGCAAGGGATTCAAATATTCAACTAATTAGGGGGTCCTGACAGAAATATGCAGAGCTCCTAAACGTCAACCCAATCTGAACTAACTGGATAAAAAGCCATGCCCACTTCATGGACATGCTCTGATTGTATCCCCAAGACTGGAGAGCAAGATAATCTTTCACATTTCAGTCTTCAGATATGGTGGAAATACTAGTAGGTTTTTGACTTCCGGTGTATAATATATGATTCTAGGGGTTTATCACAGGTTTCGGTTATCACATGTCAAAAGTATTAATGGCAGAAAAGAAAAACCGACCTTAGCAAGTGAACATGAAAAAGATTCTAGTTGTCCATGAGCACCACGATAGAAGTGGAAGTAAGGAAGCACTTTAACATTCAAACTTTTGCACATAGGCTTGTTCTCATCAAAATTCACTTTCAAGAATAAAATATCTGGATTTTCTTCGGCTGTCCTGCAGAGCTGCACAATCGGACACAATATAAAATCAACAGGGTGCACCGAGAATACTTCATATACACAGCACAACATTAAGTAAACAGTGTCCAGAATTAAGAAATGTGTACAAGAAATATATATGAAGAAGATCAGTCAATAATATCCTGAACTACTCTCCTATTTCACATTAACAAACGTAGTTGTCAATATGATCTCTCTGAGCTTCTTAAATTGTACACTTTGCTCATACCAATATAAAGGAAGAACGCCAAATACGCCCTTCTAATTCCATCCAAAATCACCTAGACAGTTTCAATAAGAAATCAGCAGAGCAAACAAACAACTTTATAAAGGAATTGGCGACATGGTGATTTAAGATGTTATTTCCAATAAGGTTGCCAAACAAGAACTATATAATGAGAAAAGGACAATGCAGTGGCTATCACCGTCACTCGTGGAACTTTCAACATATCCTAAAACTTATTAATTTACTTAATTCATTAAGGTACTAGCTCAAAACTCAAAAAGGGATTGAATTGATAAACATGCATTATTCACAAAATATATCTCAGATTTTCTGGGTTATATCCATCCTCAACTATACCGTGATTAAGTTTGGACCCATCTCTCACTCAACCATCTTAATGTAGACTCTGTTTTACAAGCTTTTGACCTAAAACTCGGTAATCCACTTGACTGTATGGCAATGCATACTAAAAGATGAAAGAGAAACACATGACTTTAATAGCAGGGTCTCAGTAGTTACCATAACCCAATGTCTTAGTGACTATTAATATTGCGATACCCTTGCCGCATAATCCAACACCAGGAGGAATTCAGCAACTATTTATATCTACTTATGACGAAACAAATTCTAAAATGATATTGTTATTTTTCACACTAACTAGTTAACTGAAGCATGACTAGTTAGATCCCATCCCAGGTTAACAGAGGTGAAGTTAGGTGTGTGGTTTTTGGTTGGTAGGTGGGGGAACATAAAGAATAATTCCTTTAGTTGTCAACGTTACATATGAATACAACAACAATAGAAAATACATGTAGAAAATCAAGAATGAAATGTCAAGTAAAAAGCAGAATTACCTTTGGAAATAATGCTCGGCAAGATGCACACCATGTTCCATAAAATTCAACAATAACTAATCTATCTCCAGATTGACTTAATGCACTCAGAAATTCTTGTGTAGAATGAATGTCAATCATGTTCGGTCCTGCATTCTTTTCCCACCATTTTGGCTGGTCAGTTTCAGCAACAGTTGCATGTACCTGCTTAAAGGATTGAAGTAAAAAAGGACTATTAGAACAGGTCACAGGGAAATAAACCAAAAAATTTTTCTAAACCGCAAAGGAAAACATGATAAGAAAATAAATTTAGATAAATATCATGCAATATATACGGTAGTTTTTAATGATAACGTGTCACCCACTAGTATGACTAATGGTCAGCCATACAATTAACAGGCAAAATCAATCTTTACCGGAGATAGTTCATCGATAATGAGAAATGTCTTGATTACTAAACAGCAACATCAACAAATTGCAAACATGGAATTTCATTTAGTATTGAAACTCTGTGCGCAGAGAAAACGACAACCAAATAACTAGACTAAAATTTAGCATCAGCTAATACCAGTCCTAAAACCATTGTTCTTGCTATCTTTAGGGATCAATCAAAAAACTCCCTACTCCCTAGACAAAAAAGAAAGTTGAACCAGCCTTGCCACGACAAGCACCGGATTTGGCTAAGACTTTGAAGGTGGCAAGTCATTTACGGTCCCTGGGGAACTTGACTCATTTGCAGCAGGCCACAATTAAATAACTAGTGGAACAAATTATGAGACTGAAAAATGCAAAGAAGTTTCAAGAATTCATCTAGACATTAATTTAATAAAGACTAAGAAAGGAAGAAATCATGCATGCTGGGCCAGAAATCTTATTTTTTTGAAGTGCATGTATTAAAATCAAATAGAAAAAATGGGAAGGTTCAGTCATATAGATTTTATTTTAAGGTTATTCAAAACCAAATAAAGTACGTCAAAATACGCCCACGTCCATGCGTCTCTAATAAAAACTACAAGATTGCATGGTCTAAACCTGTACTAATGGCTCCATATTGCATAAAGAAATGAAGTACAAGCAATCAGAAATACAAAGCTTTGCAAGAGGAAGGAGGCTAAACATGGAATAAGCTTTAAGAATCATGTCTTGATCCACAACATGGACTTAGAACACAAAAATATCAAAATAGCATAGTAGAACGCAAAACAAATGCAAATAGCATTTCACTTATTATAAATAATTTGCCAAAATCAATATTCATAATAATAAAAAAAAACCCACTTGACCTCGTCCCAATAAATGCAACTAAAAACCCAGTGTTTAAAATCTCAGCTCAAAAATTCAGCAGATGGGTTTATCAAAAATTCGCTCACAGACATAAAATCAAATATTAACTAAAAAAATAAACCATATTAGCAAAAGAATACTCCTAATTTTCATTAAAACTAAAAAAAAAAAAAAAAAAAAAAAAAAAAAAAAAAATAGTATTAGGAACGCAAAACAAATATGCAAATAAGCATTTTCACTTATTATAAATAATTGCCAAATCAATACGTTCATAATAATTAAAAAAAAACCCACTTGACTCGTTTCCCAATAATGCAACTAAAAACCCAGTGTTTTAAAAATCTCAGCCTTCAAAATTCAGCAGATGGGTTATTCAAAAATTCGCTCACAGACATAAATCAAATATTAACTAAAAAAAATAAACCATATTAGCCAAAGGAATACTCCGTAATTTTCATTAAAACTAAAAAAAAAAAAAAAAAAAAAAAAAAAAAAAAAAAAAAAAAAAAAAAAAAAGCAGTGAATGAAGATGATACCTTGAAAGAAAGCAATTGTTTCCTGGGCAAATAAGCTAAGCGAGAAACAGAACCAGTAGAAGAACAAATTAAAGGGTAAATCCTCTTATCTGAACTATGATTATTATTCAGATAAGGTGGGAGAGAATTCAAGTTGGAGGCTAAAGAGGAAGTGAGCAAAGAAGAAGACAAACGAAGCGAGTGAAACAAAGGTAATCGAACAACATCTGCCATTTACTATAGATTGATTGATTGATTGAGAGAAGGGCAAGAACGAATTTTAACAATTGTGAAGCAATAATAAGAATAAAATTGGACTACAAGAAGTCAAAAGCCGCCATAGATGGAGGAGGAAGGAGAGGGAGTGAGGTCAAGTGGGTTTCTTTTAACGCTTTGAGCCTTGATTAGCAGCTGTTATTGGCGGCCCTTGGTGACTTTGTGTGAACCAGATCCTACCGAGAAGATACTTCCGTAAGTATTTATAGTGGGTTTTTCGTTATGGAGGGACAAGCGAGTTCAGCGGCAGCTGGCCTGTACTCCTTTCTAGCAGTTGGCCTTGCCCGGTTGCCGGTTGCCCACCCAAATTTAATTAAGATAGCTTTTATTTACTGATGTAAAAATCTTATAAGTCATTAGCTCGACATGAATCCATTGAAAAGAGAGAGAATGAGAGAGAAATGTATAAATAAAGGGAAAAAAGTGTACGTTATCTAGAAGTTTTGAGAAGAAAAATCAAATGCAACTTATTACCAATTTGAGAAATACACGGTCTTTTTTTCCCAAAAAAAGAAAAAAAAAAAAAAAGGAAAGAAAAAAAGAAAGAAAAAAGGTAGAAAATACAGTCTTTAATCATATATACTAATACTATCAATTAAGGTTAAGGCATAGATTAGACCTTTAACTGAGATTCAGACATAAACATCAGACGGAAAAATGCCAAAAGCAAAAAAACCCACGTTTGTTGTTGATAACACATCAACAACTTGATTGGGGGGTGTGGATGCTACCGGAAACTGTCAATAAGTCTTAATCAATCCTTGCAAATCATTTCCAGATTTTCTTTTCGGAATGTAACTTAAGACTGTTCTTTCTAACCATCATCATCATCATCACAATTAACGTCTATAATTCTACTGTTACGGTGAGGAAGTTTATGGAAACCAACACCACATTTTTAGAAAAAAAACCTTTTTTTGATTTGATTTTCAAACTACAGCTGCACTTTGATGGAGATATATTCTTACTATAATGTGCAGATTTTATAGACCTTTGAATCTCATAAATAAAAAGTTCCAACAGAGATTATTTCTGCTCTTTAAAATAATCATGCTCTTTAAGGCAATCATCTAGTCCCTTAGAAATCTATTATCATAGATCGGAATCAAACTCTTTTAACATATTTCAACATTCCAAATTCAGCAACCAATGTAGTTGACAAAAAGATTGACAGTGATTTTCGCAAGTGTACGAAATAGCAATAAATAATATAGAATGAGAAGAGTATCGTTGTTCTATCTGGAGACGGAATATATGTATTGATATTGGTAACGTCAATTCCCGGCAACCATTTTGGCAGTCACAAGCAGAAAGTTAACGCAGTATATAGGATTGAATGGTAAAAGTTTCTCTGCTTAATTCTTTTTAGCGTCTGTGAGAGAAGGGCATCAAGTTACCACTAAGGAGCACACTCAAAGCAGCAGATACAAGCACAATTGCAGCATTTTAATGAGAAAGTATCCTGACAACTGAAGCATCGACCCTCAAGACAGTATCTGAATTTGAAGCAAATTGAAAATTAACAGCTTTTCTTTTTCCTTTTATTGCTTGTAGAAGAAGGGTGTTGAGTTACAACTTAGTTGCACAAAAAATCATTAAAAAATAATAAGATAATTAGTATTGATACTGGTAACGCCAATTCCCGACAACGACGTCAAAAACTTTGACACAAATCTTGATTACTTGAAATCTTGGAGAGAGAGAAACAATAGAACAAAAAGATAGAATATATAATGAATGGATACCCTTGACTATGGCTAGTCTTTCTATTTATATAGACTTTCTGGAATATCTTCGTGTTCGTTTAGAAAAGTGAATCTTTATTGAATAAGAAATCTTTTGGAGATAGGAAACTGTTTAGACTTTGTAGACTTTGTTATTTTTCCTTATTAGAACTCTTCCAGTGTCTAAATTAAGATTTTAACGACTTTCTGGAATATCTTCGTGTTCGTTTAGAAAAGTGAATCTTTATTGAATAAGAAATCTTTTGGAGATAGGAAACTGTTTAGACTTTGTATTTTTTTCCTTATTAGAACTCTTCCAGTGTCTAAATAAGATTTAAACTTGATTGGTACATCAGAAAAGCATCTCATGCGGGTCCATGCAAGCGGTATGGGCTAGAGTTGTCGTTTTCGGCCTAATATGAAGTGAGGTATTCAGCACGGGCGTGCTATCTGGCACAGTTTGGGCGTGCTAGTCTCTACTTAGGAACACTCTTTTCTGCATTTTGGTGATTTTATATAAAAATGCGATAAAATTCTTCAAGATCACGTGAAATGTGATTCAATGAAACTTTAAACAAAAACATAAATAAAACTAAATAAAAACTAATTAAAGTAATTAAAAATACTATAAAAATAACACCTATCAAAGGTAAAAGCCAGAAACTTTGGCCTCAAACCTTAAAGTCAATCTGCTGATACAGACATTAGCAGAATGATGCAACAAACACTCAAATTCCATGAATAAAGGCACTTCACTTGCCAAAAGTAAGGCTCTTCACTTGCCAAAAGTAAGGCTCCCAGTGGAAGTAAAGCACTGTAAATACATTAAAGCTGAAAATTCTTAAAAAACGAAGGGGTCAATCACTTGCCATTGTAGCACGCTACAGGCAGGAGAACACATCCGCAGATCACGTTCCATATTTGAAAACTCATAACAGATGAAAAAGTTCAAATCTGGTGATAATATAATCAGGAATGCCTCAACGGAGATCAATGCTAATTCAATTATCATGTGCACAGTCATAACATTAATTCACATCAACCTTTGTTGCAGAATGCATGCTCATGTGTGGCGTTGCAATAACACTTAATTTTTCTGCAGCTGAGACAACTCCGGAATTTGTTAGGAGATATTTACGAAGGACTAGGCAAAAGTATAAATCCTGGGAATGATGCAGAACCATTATTGGCAGCACCCTGAATCTTGAGAATTGAAGTAACCAAGTTATATATCTGAACATTCTCAAAAGATGGCACCTTTCGCCCTCTTGCAAACCGAGGACCATGGCCAATGAAGATAGTCCTCATGGAGAAAAAAGCATTGTCATATCCATGTGCTCCTCCACACTCTTGATGCTTTATTCTTGTCTGTTCCACCTTAAAACCCTCCTCAATCAGCCCTATAATTGGTGGAATTCTATCACTTGCTGCATAATGAAGCCTACTGGGCAGTTCCTCCTTAAGAAACACCTTCAAATACTTTCCATTTTTAATGTTTCCTGACTGCAATCCTTCGTTCATCTTTTTAACAACATCAGATGGTGTGACGCTTGGAGGAGGACGAATTGCGAGCAATGGACTGTAAGACTGGACCCATTCAGCTGGAATTTGAATTGAAGAACCCAAATCATCCAAAAATATCAGCTTCTTATCGCATGTGCCAACCATACCATGATCACCCACCATAATAATATTCACATCCTCAAACACCCCTCTCTTTTCCAACCCATCAATCAACCTCCCAATGATCCGATCAATTCCAGCAACCGCTTCTGTTATCTCAGGATCATCAGGTCCCACCTTGTGACCTTGATGATCAGGATCCTCAAAATACAACGTCATAAACACAGGAATTTCACTGCTAGGCAAATCAAAATAGCTCAAAACCTTATCCACGCGATCCTCAAACGGGACTGAACCATTATAAAACATACAAAATCCTTCAGGGCAATTCCATGATCCTTTATGCACCTCAGCCCCAGGCCAAAAATAGGTAGCAGCCCTTAAACCATGATTGGCCACAGTTTCCCATAGTGGCTCGCCAAGCCACCACTTGGGCTCGTGACTCCTCATAGTAAAGACTTCACCAGTTTGTGGATCGACAAAATGGTTGTTAATAATTCCATGATAAGCAGGGTAAAGCCCAGTGATAATAGAGTAATGATTAGGGAAAGTAAGAGTAGGAAATACCGGAATCAAACCCGTTTCAGCCTCAGTCCCATTGACGATCAACCGTTGAATATTCGGCGTCTGAGTCTTGAACTGGTACCCAAACCGGAACCCATCAGAAGAAATCAAGATAACCACAGGGTGTTTGAGCTTGGTCAACGGACGAGAAGTCGTTTCGGCAGAAAACGACGTCGCCGTAATAGGCGAGGAAGAAGTTGAAGCAGAGGAGAAAAAGAGGAAAGCGAAAGCGGCGGCGGCAGAGAGAGAAATGCAAGCGACGAGGAGGAGTGAGATGAAGACGATGGTAGTGGTGTGTTTTTTAGTAGGATTTGAACAATCAGAGGAATCAGTGTTGAAAGGGAGAAGAGCAGTGGATGGGCTTAGTGCATCTTCTTCTTGACATGGTATCTGTGTAGCCTTTGTGGAGTTCAAAGCCGAATCAGGATCCATAATTCACAAAAAAAGACTTTAACTTTTGCGTTGATCTGTATTCCGGGTCTAATGGGTATCAACAGTTGAAGATCATAGAAACATAACTTGTTAAAAACAGGGAATTGGACTGGAATTTGAGTGAAAAGCAAGGGTTTCAATAAAGATGTTTATAGTTAGGCGTCATAACGTTTTTGAACAATGGGTGGTCCATCTGGAGTAGAGACGAAGATAAAAAGGTGACGAAGGGGTAGAAGGCGAAGCAATGAAGGAATATTCAGTATCTTATCGTGATTGAATAATTTCTGTATAGAGGATGTCAGGTGGGGCTTGTGGATCAATGGCCACGATTCGTTGCAGTTCAATGTGTAGAAATATTTTATGCTTAATCTTGGTGACCTGTTGGCTTTATTTTAGTAATCAGTGGGCAAAAGCTTAATGGACTAGCCCACGTGATATGGGCCCAACTTGACTGCGGAAATAAGAAGTGAAAATAATTATTTCACTTTTTATTTCCGTAATTATTTAAATAATCCTCGATATTTATATAAATATTTATAACGTTTCTGAGATTTACTTCTGTCTTATTAATTGATTCTTCCGTCTAAAAATTACACCTTTTCCTTTAATTTTGAGAGGAAAAGACAAAATTATCCTTTGGAAAAATAATTATTTCGTCCCTGAGGTTTGCCATAATTATTTAAGTCCCGACATTTATACAAATATTTATAATGTTCCTAAAATTCACTTCCGTCATATTAATTGGTCTCTCCGTCCAAAAAATACAAATTTTTCGTTAATTTTGAGAATAAAAGACGAAATTATTTTTTATAAGTTTTCATTGATATTATTGTCAATCTCTTTTCTCTAAAATACCTAAATTCAAATTTTCATCATTTTTCTCAACCAACACAATCTTTATTGTCACCACCGTGTCTCTGTCAACCATCATCTTCATAACCAGATCACCACCAAAACTAAAAGGGAAAATAATTATTTCGTCCCTGAGATTTGCCATAATATCTTTATTGTCACCACCGTCGTCTCTGTCAACCACATCTTCATAAACCAGAATCACCACCAAAACTAAAAGGAAAATAATTATTTCGTCCCTGAGATTTGCCATAATTATTTAAGTTAGTTTCCGATATTTATACAAATATTTTATAACTTCCATGAGCGTTCACTTCCGTCGCTAATACTTGGTTCTTCCGTTTAAAAAAACCTCTGTCAACCATCATCTTCATAACCAGATCACCACCAAAACTAAAAGGGAAAATAATTATTTCGTCCCTGAGATTTGCCATAATTATTTAAGTAGTTTCCGATATTTATACAAATATTTATAACTTCCATGAGGTTCACTTCCGTCGTAATACTTGGTTCTTCCGTTTAAAAAACACATTTTTTACTGTTAATTTTTAATAGAATGACCAAACTAACCTAAATCGTCTAATCAAGGAGAGAGAGATAAATGAATGAACGGTGATCATGGCTTGATTGTGTTTGGATGTCGAGTTTTAGTTTTGGTGGTGATTTGGTTATGGAGATGATGGTTGACAGAGACACCGTGGTGGCAATAAAAACCGTGTTAAATTGAGGAATATGGTGAAAATTTGATTTTAGGAATTTTAGAGGAAAGGAATTGACAATAATGTCAATGAAAACTTACAAATGATAGTTTTGTCTTTTTCCTCTCAAAATTAGCGAAAAAAATTGTATTTTTTGGACTGAAGGACCAATTAATATGATGGAAGTGAATCTCAAGGACGTTATAAATATTTGTATAAATATCGGGGACTATTTAAATAATTATGGCAAATCTCAGGACGAAATAATTATTTTCCCAAAAGATAACTTCGTCCTTTTCTCTCAAAATGAATAAAAAAATATAATTTTTGAACGAAATGACCAATTAATAAGATGAAAGTGAACTTAAAAAACATATAAATATTTGTATATATATCGAAAACTATTTAAATAATTATGCAAACCTCACCGAATAATTATTTTCCCAAATAAAAATAGTGACCGATCAATGACGCGAATTTTGGCCGACCCGAATTCTGTGAACTCCATTGTTAAGTTGGAAAACTCTAATTCATTGACTTGTTCAAAAACCGCAGCTTTACTTCGATCCAGTAAAGATCAACAAGCACGAATAAAAGAGAATGGCGTATCTGAGCATGGGAGAGGCACACCGAAGAATAACAGAGTACCTTAATCGCTTCTCCGACGTCGTTTTTTCTCAAGACGGAGCTACCCTGAAACAACTTCTCTCTCTCTCCTCCAACTCCAACTTCCTCCTCTCCGTCGCCGACGCTCTCAATGTCTTCCAGGTCCAAATTATACTTTCTCTCTGCTCAAATACATTAACAGGTAGTGTATTGTTGGGATTAGGATGTTGATTGTTGCTGATAGCGTTAATGTTACAGGACGCTAATAGATTGATTAAGCAATCGGAGAAGTACTCGCAATTTGGGGAAATAACAGCTCCGCTTTTCCGGTCTCTGCAAAGTTATCGACTTGGGAATTTGGTGGACACTTATCCAGCCTTCGAAAAAGCCGCCAAGTATTGATTTTTAAATTTTTTATCTCTCATTTTTGGTTCGCTAAACTTGTATCATTGCCGTCTTGATTTAAAATTTGATTCGTTAGATTTTTTTGTGCGCTACTGGTTAAAATGTAGTGCCTTTATTCAAGAGTTTCGAAATTGGGAATCGGCTTGGGCTTTGGAGGCATTATATGTCATTGCCTATGAAATAAGGGTTCTTGCAGAGAGGGTAATAATTTTCTTATATACTTGCTAATTTTTCAGTTGGGGATGTTCTCCCATGCAAGTCAAGGCAATCTGAGCTGTAATTTAAATAAGACTGTCATGTTTGTAGGCTGATAAAGAGTTGGCTTCAAATGGAAAATCACCTGAAAAATTGAAGGGAGCTGGTTCATTCCTCATGAAAGTGTTTGGTGTTCTTGCTGTATGTTTATCTATTCCCCGTGATGCTGTTCTGATTGCTTGGTATGGCAAAAAGTTTGTCTTCTCACTGCTATTTATTTTATATGCCGTGTAAATTTGTAGGGAAAAGGCTCAAAACGTGTGGGAGCTTTATATGTGACTTGTCAGTTGTTCAAAATCTACTTCAAGGTGAAGACTTGTGCTTTTTCTCTGCTTTCTTGTTGTAGAATGTTTAATATGTTTTCCAAAATAGGCTTGAATGTTGGGGGGATTTTTTTTTTCTATGGGGGTTGGGGGGGGGGGTTTCAGTGGTTTTGGTTAAATCAAGAAATTTAACATTTTCTATTTTGCAGCTTGGTACAGTTCATCTTTGCCGAAGTGTGATAAGGAGTATTGAAACTGCTAGAATATTTGATTTTGAGGAGTTCCCTAAAAGGGATAAGGTCAGGGCTTGCTGGTGACAAACTATTATTTTTTCTTTTATGAGTGGAAGTTAAATACTCAGAAAGTTACTATTGCAAATGACTTTTCTTGTAACGGATCGAATTACTGTCTATCTATGCAGGTCACATACATGTATTATACTGGCCGTTTGGAAGTTTTCAATGAAAATTTTCCTGCTGTGAGCTCTCAAATCTCCTCTCAGTGTAGAACTTGCTTTTCTGATACAACTTGCTGTATTATATGCCTTAAACATTTGGGCTATGCTTCATAACCATTGCATTATTTGATTTTATTGGATGTCATATTCGAACCTTGCATAGATTTATGAATTATGATTTCTATTGTTCTTGAAAAAGCTCAAGAATTCATGATTGAATGAATTTACTACTGTGATTTGGCAGGCTGATCATAAGTTATCATATGCCTTAATGCACTGCAACCCCCAGAATGAAGCGAATATAAGGTTTGATTCAGGTGTGCTTGCTGCATATATTTTGTGTCTGCATGATGATGAGACTTTTCTTTTTTTTATTTTTCCTATTTTTTTGGGACACATTGTTATATTAAAAAAATGAACCACAAAATGTAGCCCACCATTGATTGCTTTTGAACCTAAGATTTCCAGACGGAGTATTCTTTTACAATTGGAACATGAGACTTTTTACAAATAATGTGCATATCAGCAATTGGCTATATTGGGTCAAACTGTACTTTGATAATAATTTATTACATCGTCACCTTACTCATACTTGCAGAATACATGCATGATCACAGCTTCTCTGTCTGTTTTAAAATAGTACTTTATAAATCTGACTTACATGAGAACAATTAAAATTTATTACTTGGGGGAAAGCAGTCTGGGGTACTTTCTGTGTGCATATGCTAAAACAAAAGGGTAATTGACACAACCACAAACTGAAATACTTGTTTCTGGAGGAATATATGCTATGTCTCCACAATTAGTCAAATTGCAATTACCCAATGTTATTTTGTTATCTCTGGTTTTAGGTTCGCATGCTTGCTCATTTTGCATCACCTTTCTTTGCATAGATATCCTTTAATGTTGCGTTCTCTGGCTCACATTTTCTTTGCCATTGGTGGATCAGGATGATACTAAAATATTTGATACCTGTGAAGCTTTCAATTGGTATCTTGCCTAAAGATTCACTCCTACAGAAGTACAAGCTAGTAGAGGTGAGCCTGAATTTTGAATTCTCTGTTTTCACTTGGTTTCTAAATAAGAAACAGTACTATATCTTTCTGATGCTTATGAAAAATTGTGTGCATAGGGACATGTTATTTGAACAGTGAACTAATATTGATCAGTGATTTAAAGAGAAGGAACAAATCACCTTGTAGTAGATGATTTTTTTTTTTTTCTTTTTTTTATGACTTAGAAACTTCAACTTTTGGGAGAAAGGAGTGTTTAAATGTCTTTCAATCATCTATATAACTAGAACTATTTGTTATTGCATCATACCTCTCTGATAAACCATAATTTTACTTGTCAGTACAGTGATGTCGTTCAAGCTCTAAAAAGGGGTGATCTCCGTCTGCTTCGACATGCTCTCCAGGAGCATGAAGACCAGTATGTTTGATTTCTGCCTTATGATGAATTAATGGAATCAGAATTAATAGGATAAAAGCTTAAAAGTTTCTTTTTCTCCTAGGTTTCTAAGATCAGGTGTATTTCTTGTTCTGGAGAAGCTAGAGCTCCAAGTTTATCAAAGATTATTAAACAAAATGTAAGTCCCACGATACATGATGTGGAGATGTCAATGCTTTTGGTTTTTTTTCACAATGTTTTATTCTGGTTGTAAAACTACCATCTCGCAGTTACATCATCCAAAAGCAAAAGGACCCAAGCAAAGCTCACCAGATGAAGTTGGAAGTAATCGTTAAAGCATTAAAGTGGCTTGAGATGGACATGGATTTGGATGAGGTACTTTATGTTCTGTTGACCCTCTTTGTTCCATGACATTTATGTCTTCCCTTTGTTGTTTTGGTTGTTTTACCTCTTTGGTTATGAAAATTCAAAGTTCTGCTATTGACAGGTGGAATGTATAGTGGCCATATTAATATACAAGAATCTCGTGAAGGGATACTTTGCACACAAAAGCAAAGTGGTAGTATTGAGTAAGCAAGATCCTTTTCCCAAGTTAAATGGAAGACCAGTTAGTTCATAGAAATAGAGGTGGTGGAAATGCTACTTATAAATTTTGATGAGCCAGTCTGAAAGCAATTTGCACAGATTGCTTCTGATTCTGCCAGTAAAGGCTGTTGTATTGAGCAAATTCAATCTCATGTACTTTTGTGGTTACTGGTAAATGCTGCTATGATTTTTCTACCAATACCTTTCTAAATCATCATTATGTATGTTTATTGTTCTGCTATGTTGTCTTGTCTCTCCCCTCCTCCCGTAGCAAGATCAGATAATAACATGCGTCTTGGTTTTCTTTTACAAAAGATATGGATTTATGGAATTTTTTATTTTATTTTATTTTATTATTATTATTTTTTTATGAAAAGATAAACAGTACAAAACTAGAACAACATCAAGGTATAACGATAGACTTAAAACATTTGCATAAAAAACATTGCCCTAACAATGAGGTGAAACATTGAAAGAAATTTCTACTGGAATAATAAGTGAAATCATCTGAATGACTTTACAACGCTCTTCTCATTTACAAATATGATATATGTCTCTGTATGTTCAGTGGAAAAAAAAAAGTGTTTAATTACAAAACAATTGCTAGATACATCTATTCCCTTGCTTTCAATAGCTCCATCAGCTAGCTTAGTTGCCTGAAAGAAAGATCAAGAATTGTTATTTTAAAATTTAACTTTCAAGCCATTCTTGCCAACTAAAGAAAATATATACATCATAAAGGCCAAAAACTAACATCAAATCCAAATTATCTTCATTTCAAATCCTCACTTGTCCGAACACAAGGGAATTTATGACCAGTTTTTATGTTTTGTAAAAATTTGTTTTGAAGAGAATTCAAAAGGTCAGGGGGTGTCCTGGATCTGAGTTCAAAAGAAGAAAGCAATATGCCTTTGAACGACATATAAATGACTGGAGAAATGGTACCTGGTTTTCTCTGTCTAGTGAAGAAAACTAGCGTTGCAAAACCAACCATGATTGCAACTCTCATCACCTGTCAAAACCAGAGAAATCAATCAACTTTACTTGCAATTTGGGAATTAATTAGACAGGAAGAGGAAGTCATTCGGCAAGGTATGCTTGCATTTGATTTCATTTTCATGTTTCTCAGCGTAAATCCTTGAATCTATCTGATATTTAACAGAATGCATAGATCTGTCCTGAGTTCAGGAGTAAATCGGTATAGAAGATTCTTTTAATGCTCAATATTATAAGAGATTCTTACGTGCTATTAACATGACAATGTTTTTGTACCAATAAGGGAAAGAGATACAACCTGTACCGCTGGCCCTCTTTCAGCATCTTTAGAACCCTCATTATTTGATTCTGAGTGTCTTCTAGCAGCTTTAATGCCTTCTTGAGCCTGAATCTGAGTACAGTACTATAAGAATAATTGGACGCACAACACTATAATTGTAAATCTGCTGATTAGAAAAGTGTAACAAGTCATCTATACAGTAGCCTCACATAAGTTGCTAAACATACTAAAATCCCTTTTAGTGAGTGCACAGTAATGTATGATCAACCAAGGGCTGCAAATGCTATCACACATAAGGTCATAAAAAATAAGGGCGTGAAGATCAAGCCAAATAGCGAGGTTCATGCTGAAAAATGCTGTTTCAGAGCACAGATGTTGCTTGTGCTTGAAATGAAATGATGTGGTTTCATCCTTTGAGTGTTACTAGAGTTGTTATTTTCTGACAAAAAATGAGTTTCTTGTTCTAGTCTAAACTGACCTATGAAATAATTATTAGGATACTGTAAAAACCATATGAGAAAGTAAAAATACCTCTTTCACATTTTCTGTCACATGAGAATTTGCTCTTAGCTGTTGCCTTTTTGCTTCTGTGTGGAAACTTCCTTTCAGATCAATAATTTTTTTTCCACCACTTGTGATACACAAGGGTTTTCCTCCATCAGGATATATCCAGGCACCATTTGAGGATTGAGGCTCATCTCCTGATGAACCTTGAAAGTTTGCCTCTTGTAAAGTTTCCAGCTGAATCTCTTTTCCATTCTTCTGTTTTAACAAATTGCCGGTGGAATGTCTTATCCAGGCAAACAGGTTACTTAACGGATGTGCACCTTTAGCATTAAGCAATCTTCCTGAAACTGAAGTTCTTTCACTTAACTGCTCTGACTGACTAACAAAACCAATTTGCTCTTTTCTTTTTCCGATATGTGCAGCGGCTTGTTGCATATCACCTGAATGACTAGGATCGCGGACTCTGCCCGAAATGTTTGCTGGTTCAGCATTTTCTGCCTTGACTTCAGTTAGGTGTGTACTTTTTGAAGCAACTTCCACTCTATTCTTGCTTGACTGAGATTTTATTGGTGCCGGTCTTATTTCAGGTTTCATATCCTGCTTCAGCACAAGTTCCACAAATTATAATTTTGGAAAGACAAAAACTTACTGGTCACGACATGCCAGAAAATTTATTTAAAGCAGTAGCATCGATACCTGATTTAAACTACTTTCAAATGCACTTATCATGTTTCTTATCTTGCTTGGAGTTTTCTTCAGTGAGCTCCGCTTCTCTGGATCAGTAGCACCATCCGACTTAAGTTTTACAGGATCTTGTTTCTTTGCAGCAACTACGGATCCTGAGCTTCCCAAAGATGAAGCTTCTTCTGAAAAATTGGTTCTGGCAAGAGCATTAATGGGATTCTTCTCAACCAACATTCCATTGGTTACTTCCTCTAGATGGATATCAATTCTGTGCGACTCGGTTGTGATAGATGCAGTGCTTTCAAATCTGTCTGTATCATTCTAAAACAGGCGGAATGTCATTAGAAAATCCCAAAGGTGCTTTTTGCACAATTTTTCCCGTGAAAAAGCAAAGGTATGAATGCAATGCATAGTAATCCTTAACTGGGTCTGTTTGCTTCTGAAAGTAATAAGCTAGTTCATTGTCCTGGGGACCAGATTTTCCTTTCTTGAAACGAGTGGAGAGAACGGTTGAGCTCAAACCAGCTTGAATCACTTCCCTTTGAAAATGGCTATTATTTGAATCTTAAGAAATGGAAAAATAGGGCAAACGGAAAAAAGTTTTTCAGATATGCAAAATTGCAAGCCAACAATTTCATTCATTTTCTTTTTAGCTTTTTTGCTTGAACCTTTTCAGAATTACTTAACGGTTAGCAAAGATCATACCTAAGGTGTCACGATTGGGCTGCAAATATTGTGCAAAATTACTAACAGTAGTGGCTCGTGCTGGACTTTTTGGTTTACCGTTGAGAAGTTCTTCATGTTTCTTTCTCAGTGCCGATTCTCTCTGCAAACAGTACTTAGACATGATTAGCAACCACAATTACAAGAGGTTAAAAAGAAATGTTTTTAGCTTAGGACAACATGCTAGTATTCTGCTTTAATCTAGTAAAGAACATCATCTAGAACGCGATTTCCTTGAAAAGCTTTAAGTTATTACAATAATATTACGAAACATTACCATTACACGGATGCGGTGGCGATCTTCTTCACTGAGGACAAACTGCAACTTCATATGCACATGCCCACCTCCTTCAAAGGGAAAAACGTTATCCCAAATGCCTTTCTCGATAACAAACCTGGTCTCAACAACTGCAATTAAATATGACCATCCCTGTCAGTCTCACAGCTAGAGTGAAGTCAAATGCACATGAGAAGAAAGAAGCAAATGGGAAAATAAATGCACATGTAAAACCTGTATGTGATATTTCCTTTCCTTTAGAGTCCTGAAGTGTAACAATCAAATTGTCGCGAAGAGTTGTTAATGGACTGCACCACATTCTGGAACTATTAAGCAGCATAACAGAGCAAAAACCAGAGAATAAGGAGAAAGTAATGTTAAGAATCATTACAAAGAAAAGTCCCCTTTGTCAAAAGTTTGGTACTCTCTTTTACCCATGGAAACTGCATTATGAAATATATGGATCAGTAGATTTCTCTTATGAAGAAAAATCCCAGAAAGAGAAGAAATAATTGGTGGACATTGCATACTCTTTATTGACATTTGTGAAAGACGCGATGATGATTGCAGAGTCATGAATTCCAGAACTGCAGATAAACAAATTTTTAAAAAAATAAGTATCCAACTAACTGCCTAGTTCAAGAAGATTTAACTCTTCTTAGTACCTGAAACTTGGATGGTTCCTGGCATTAGAGACGAAAGCTTTGTAGTTTGTCGTGGAAGAGTAGGCAAAAGTCTATAGATCGAACCAGCTAGCAACTAAAAGGAAAAACTTGATCAGAACTTGAAAACAAAAAATCTTGGTTCAATTCGAGCAAGGAGGCTATGTATGCAACTGAGAATGCGAAAAAATTGGATTGGATGGAAGTTGCGGTTGTGGTTGGACTTGAAGGAAGTTAAAAACATGGTGGGTCCCATAACCTTCTTTTACTATATATTAACCACCTCTTTTGGGAAAGCCAGATCACTGTTTTTTTTTTTTTTTTTTGTGGAAGAGTAGGCAAAAGTCTTATAGATCAACCAGCTAGCAAACTAAAAGGAAAAACTTGATCAGAACTTGAAAACAAAAAATCTGGGTTCCAATTCGAGCAAGGAGGCTAATGTATTGCATACTGAGAATTGCGAAAAAATTGGATGATGGGAAGTTGCGGTTGTGGTTGGACTTGAAGGAAGTAAAACATTGGTGGGTCCCATAACCTTCTTTTACTATTATATTAACACCTCTTTGGGAAAGCCAGATCACTTTTTTTTTTTTTTTTTTGGTCTTATTAGTAGTAGTATCTACGCTCACGCCTCAAGTCCTACATCCTATTAAAAAACTTTCCACCTGGAGGAATTTGAAGGGAGAAAAAAAACATTACAGAGAGTAACAACCTAAAAAAAAACAGGAAGAATATTTATTGAGGCGTCAAATATTGTATGAAATATTTTACAATATCTATCCTTCAATTGATGAGCATAAAAAATCCTTCTCAATTTGCTACCATTTGTAAGTAAAATTGGAGTCAGAAACATCAGTTAGAAACTTGGAATGGACTTTGCCCGAATGAACTGCTTGAGTATGGCTTTCTCTTCATCAATTCGTTTCTTCTCCTCGGGGTCCTTGGGTTTGACTTTTCTTTTCTCTTCCAATATCCACTTGAAAAGCTCGCGTTGCTGATCTTCAGGTATAGGCTCCTTTGGTTTCAGAATATCACTAGAGGCGAATGGAGTCTGAGGAATTGAGGCAGTTGTTGAATCCAAGAGATCTTCCCCCAAGGTTTTGCTGTCTTCCTGACCTTCTTTTGCAGTTTTAATATCTGTCATACTCAGATTTTTCTTTCTTGCCATTGCGAACATATAAGCTGCAAGTACTTGAAAGGCAACCAAAAATTGCGAGTAAGCATACATTCTGTCAAGTAATTGGTTCAAGAAAACTTTTAATATTGAACTATACGAGAGAAAAAAGATAAATAACTACGAAGATTAACTGAAATTATTATATAAACGGCCACTGCATTTGAATGACACAAAATTTACAAGCAGATTTAAACCATCATGTTCAACTCCAGCAACTATGAAGACAGAAAAAATAACTGATTATGGCCTCCAATTATGACCCGAGTAATATAATTCTTTTAGTTCTGACTCCATATATTCTAATATGCATCTGTTGGAGGAGGTGGCTAAGGAACAGCTAATCAAAACAAGGCAAATGACCAAGTCCTTTATATGTCACAGTAGTAATGACTTGCAGAATACCCAATTCATCACCAGATTGTGACCCAGTAATGAACTCAACTGATCTACCAACTCTACCACAATCATTCAATCAACACCTAACGTCCCAGTTTACCAAGTTCCATGGATGACTAATCCTTCAGTCATGAGACGTCGACTAGCACAATGCTCCAATCAAAAGGAGAAAAGAAAATGCTACAAAATAACAAATTAGAAGTTAAGCTACCAGGACTTATAATTGAATGTTACTCTGAAACTGTGCAATAATGTGCAAAATGGGTAAAAGCAGATAGCAACTTTAATCTTAGAAATTGGATAATTATTTCACTTTTCTTGGTAAAGGTGATTACAAGCTTAATTTCTATGGCCTTAGAAACAAGTAGACTTGAACTCTGTATCAACAGTACAAAAATCTTGATTCTAGCAAGCCAACAGTAAAACAGATTTTGAGCAACCGTTAAATCATGATATGATTTACATAACAAAATTAGAGCCCCCACATTGGAGTTGCCAAATTGATGAAAATCGGATATTAGAGCACATTTTGAACGCTCATCACAAATCATATAATCAAGGCACATGGTTCTTGCTAGTAAGCATGCAACATTGGTACCTAACAAGATTCATCTTCAATATGAGCTTTTTACTAACTTGCCAACATAGAACATAGATAGTGCTCCTTCAACAAAGATATTCATTGAAATATCTGAAATCACGTGGCGCAAATCTTTTATAAACCCAGCCCACTAAAAATCATTTCCTAAACTTCAGCATTGCGAAGAAACAAACTTTCACTTTCTACATAGAAAGGAGCCAAAATAGACAGCCAACAACCGAACATTCAAGAAAAATTTCCCCTACAAAGCATTTAAAAAGAAAAGAAAAATAATTTTGCTTTGACAAAACCTTAAACAGTCGATCCCAGTAAACTTCCAACTAAAACTCTCGTAAAAGTAAATATATCAAACACCTTATAGACAATACTCGCAACCCAAAAATGAAGATTAAAACCGCTCTAAAAAACAAGATACCCAGTAATTAAAAACCAAAAATGTGCTGGGACTGACCTCCAAGGGCGAGATTAGAGATTAAAAGAATACGCCAAATGGGCTTATAACGCTTCATTCGCGATTCCTTTGCAGCCAAATGCGGGTCTTGGGATTCAGGAGCTTCCATTTTTATCAATGCACTAACAATGATGATGCCTCTTGCTTGCTTGATTTCACATGTTCTCTATTCTTACGAATACTGTATTATGAAGTGGAAGCTTAGAAAAAAAAGTTTTTTCTGTTTTTTTTCTGGATGCTTGGCACTAATATCAAGCTTTGCTCTGTTAAGTGTTAATCCACCTATTTTAGGACACATTTAGTCCTTTTTTAAAGTTTGTCGAAGCTTATAGGGTTTTGATTTGCTAATTTACCATTATATCCTTATATTGCAAAATTAATCACTCTACCATTATTTTAAAAAAATGGAGTATACTATTTCATCCTTAATATTTACTTTCTTAAATGAAATAATTCTACTGCTAATTTTTTTTATATACTTTAATGCCTTTTTAAAAAATGAAAATATTTTCTTTAAATGTTATGGAAAGGTACAGATATTTTCCTCTTTTTATAAAAAATTTCCGGTCTTTGACCTCTTCTCCTCCCTTTGTTTGGTTTCTAACGCACGACACACGTTTATTGGGCCTCGATCCAGCCCAAAGCCCATTCATAAAAATCAGTTTTCATTGTATCAATTTGATTCCACCATTCAGTCTATACCTTAACTAGACTCTAACACTACCCATCTCTACTTACACTACCATATACATGTATAATGCATATAAAACAATTGGGGATTGCAGCGAGTCAGATTTTTCCGGTATTCAATATTTTTATACGTTTATTATGGAGTTTAGAGTAAATATAGACGGTAAAATTATTATCCACTGAGTTTACATTTTTGATATCATAACTCCTTTTATTATCCGCTATGTTAAATAAGTTTAATACCGATTATTTTTTACTCACTTAAGAAATATCTTAAACATTTATATGTGTTTGTAATATACATGGTTAATAAATTTATAACAAGTAATGATAATTAATACGTAATATCATAAAGTATACTCAAAATTATTAGTTGACTACATATTTAACTAAGAATAATCTTTAAATATATCTTACACCTGTTATGATCACTAAAACCAAAAATGAGTTTAGTTAAAAAAAAAAAAAAAACTACAAAATTATAGTTGACTACATATTTAAACTAAGAATAATCCTTTAATATATCTTACAGCTGTTATGATCATAAACCAAAAATGAGTTTAGTTAAAAAAAAAAAAAGATGTTATAAATTATATACATATATATATATATTATATATAATACTTATACATAACTATGGAAGGGTGAGTTGAGGGTATAACGATGATAGCATAATCGTTTTTAGGCAATAGATCACAAAGAATTTAAAGAAAAAAAGAGAAATGTATTGTTTATTATTATTATAATTATATAACGATGATGCATAATCGCTTTTAGGCAATAGATCACAAAAATTTAAAGAAAAAAAAAAGAGAAATGTATTTTTTTTATTATTATTAGTTATTCCTCTCTTGTAATTGTTTGTTCTTCAGTTTTTTGACACAACGATACTGTATTAGTCGATAGCATGGCCAAGCGGCCATCCCCCGTCTTCCATAGCCAGGGATTAGTCATTTAAGGATCAGTTGATGCGCTGGGATGAAAGAAAGAAGCAAGATACGGCCGGAGATTCTCGCACGGCTTGCTCACGAATGCCCTGTTAGAAGGAATCATTGGACAAAAGGAGGAGAAGAAGATCGGCCGGCGAGATCACCACCGGCTTTAAGAAAGAGGGTGACGAAGGAAGCTCCCAAAAGCAGGTTCACGTTCAGAAATGATAAAATTTAAAAACAATTAAAGCATATAATAGAATATACACTATAAATTATATAATCTCATTTAATTTACTTATAATTAATTAAAACTGAAAGTATATATCTCTATCTAAAATAATATGTATATATAGGGTTTGAACATCCCCTTCCTACAATGAAAACAACAGTTAGAAACCCACTTGAGAAAATATTTCATTAGGATTCGTTTTCTAACTAATTTGTCCCGTTGGAAATCCATCAAGAATTGAAGGTTAGAATTGGGTATTTTGTTTCTTCTTCTTCTTCTTGTACTTTATAAACAAACAACCATTGTTGAAGACTACTCTTCATATTGGTTCGAGACAACGCCTGAGTCAAAAGTATTCTCCTCCAGAATCTTTTTCAGAATGCACAAAAAGCCTATGCTGTAACCCCCATGTAATGTGTATCATCGCCATCACCATCACTTCTTTATTTAGGTCAAAAGAAAGAGACTGTCCTTTTTTCTCCCAATCTTTTGATGTTATCTCTAAGATAGGCAAGAAATTTGCTATCTGGAAAATTAACTTGGGAGTATGTTTAGGGTAGAGTGTATAGTATAGATGAATGGATCTTGTCCACTCAATGAAAGAGATAAAAGTGGGTTCCCTGCTGCTGGATATGTACAATAATTTTAATTGATATCTCGTGACTCAAATATCTGGCACAGCACCTTAAAATCCGAAAAACCTTAACATTATTGATTCATTGACTATGAATGATCACCAAGACATTATGTACTATTTGCAAAAACTTCACTTTAGTTCTTCTGAGTGTAAGAGCTTATATTATATCATGAACAAAGCAATGTAAGGATCAATTTGGTTAATTCAGTTGGAAGTTTCTGAAAAATTAACAGTAAAAGAAAATATAAACTGCTGAGAGTAGGGTGATGCTCAGCATGGTTAAGGAAGAATTAGAATCAGTTGGTAGTCTTGCGCCTTTGGTCACCTCCAATGTTTCACAGGGTGTGAATTGTGTAGCCCTTCTCTCTTTTTGTAACAAATAATAATAATAATAATAATAATAATAATAATAATAATAAAAGAAAATGGAAAAACATAGAGCAAAATTATATTAATTTTGTGATCAAAACAACAAATTAAAACGTCGTACATTTTATTAATTAGCTCCATAAAAGACAACTAATAATCCTTAAAATTCTTATTATTTTAATTGCTCATACTTGATTTCATTTCTCTCCCTCATACGAAAACAATCTCTCACACAAAATATGCAATCCAGCTAGCTACGAGTTAATTAGCTAAACAAAGGAAACTAATTCTAAAATTGGAGAATTGAGGAATTAAAAATTATTGAAAACTCATCAACCGTGAACAAGACCATAAGATAGAGCCATAAGTAGAATTGCTGCTTCCTTCTCATCTTGAGGAAAAACTTGTTGATTGAAAGCTGAATTCTTGCTCAAGATTATTGATAAGTAATCCTCAAAACAAAGCTTATTCTTTCTTCCTCGAGCTTGCGCTGTGAATCTGCACCTTTTCTTGAATGGAAGATGATTATTATTTGCTTTGCCCTCTTTGCTTTGCGCTTTAGTTTTCATCGCTGGTATTTCAGGAGCACAAATGGTGCCATTTGCATTTGCTTGAGCTGCAGCCAAAGCTCGCCTCGCCTTCCTTTGTCGAATTCCACAGGCGTTGCAAAGCGACTGCGCCAAATAAAATGTATAATGATAAGATAATTGTAAAATTTATACACAAAATACTAAGTTGCAAATATATAGCCTAGCTAATTAACCCTCAAAAAAATTTATCTTAATATTATAATACATTTAAACAAAGAGAAGAAGTTGAATTACCTTAGGACCTCTAGGACCACTCCTCCAAAGAGGGGTCTTAGTTGTGTTGCAGTCAGCACAAACCCTAATTGAGTTGTTGTTGTTGTTGTTATTATTGGAGAAGTTTTTGCTGCTATTATCGTCTTGTAAAGGTGATGATCTATCTTTCTTCTCTTCAAACTTGTGCACATAATTATTGGACTCCATTTGATCCGAGCTCATCATCTTCCTCATCAACCTCATCTTTGAAGACATCCACTTAACTGACGTGTTCTCTCTTTGATCTTGATCATTTGTTTCTTGTTTCTTGGAAACAGGTATTGTCAGGCCATTCTTGTTCTCATTACTGAGCGATGGTTGATTCCATGATGAAACGCCATGCGGAGAAGCATGTATATTGGCCTGCTATAAGATCAAGAGAAGTGATCACACATAAGTGAGTGAGTTTAATTAAATTAATCAAGAACAGCACCAACTAACTTTAATTCAATATAACTGGATTTATGAACAGGATTGTGAGGCTGGGAGTTCAAATCCAAGTTTAGAGCAAAAAAAAAAAAAAAAAAAAAAAAATGGGGAGGTTCAAAGCCAAGTCTTAGAAGCAAAAAAAAAAACAAAAAAAAAAAAAAAAAAAAAAAAAAAATCAAAAAAAAAAAAAAAAAAAAAAAAAATCAAGAGTCAAATATAATTAATTGTAAACTAATAATAATTACTATATACAATACCTCTTGTGGATGCTGTAAGGGCTGAAATTCTGTAAGATAAAAACCGGAGTCTTCGTGAGGTGGGTTGATGAAAAAAGGGTAGGAAATGGAAGAAGAAGAAGAAGCATCTTCAGTGGTTTTTGAAGAGAAGAGATGGTTTTGGTCTTCATTGAGGTCTATAGAAAAAGGAGAATGATTATAAGTAGAAGTCATGGAGAGAGAGAGAGAAAGAGAGAGAGGGATCACAGAGATTAAAGTAGTGTTGTATATGATCTATTGTGTCCACTAAAGGTGGAACTTCGAAGTGGAAGGAGTGAGTTAGAGATAGATAGGGAGAGGTGGGAGGTGGAAATTGAGAGAGAAAATAATTAAATATATAAGGAAAGAAAGGGCCAAAGATATACATATTTATATTGGTAATTAATTAATTATCATTTAAATTGGAGAAGGGAAGAGGTCAAAGAGATAAAAACTATTTGGTTTTACAGTAACAAGCAGATATAAGACATTCACGTGACTTGAGACACCATCATCCAATCGACCCTATACAAACAAGTCGAAGAGACAAACCAAAAGGAAAAATGTGGATTGCTACTGCACAGCCTCATATGACAAAACCCTATCTGCAACTCCTTACAGTACATATATATATATAACCTAGTTATTGCAGTAAATTTACAGTACTATAGCTGGTGATTAATAACTTTAAACCAGAGCAACAATGGAGATTTTTTTCATTCTTGATTCTTGAATATATATTTCTGGTTGAACTAGCTAGTACCATAAACAAAGGTGGGTTAATATTAATTTGCAATTAAACAAGATCTATTATCAAAATGAGGTGCAATGATAATTATTAATTAAGGCTTTCCAATTACATATATATGTACCCAAGTTTTTCATATGGTGATTAAATTTTGAAGTAGCAAAAATTTCTGAATTTGAATATACTTTCTTCTTTAGGGGATTTTTTTTTATTTAAAAAAAAAAGTATTCATATGTGACAAATTGATGGTTCCAAAGATATTAAATAGAAAGAGAAAGTAAAAAGGTTAAACCAGTAGCAGTGTTGATTGTCAAGACAGCGATCTCTCTTTCTCTCTGCATATGGGATTGACATCAACCAACATATACTGCCATTAATGGAATGATATCGAGGAGCATATAGAGTATTAACTTATTATATACAAGTTGAATGCTTTGTTTCTATAGTTATTATTATTGCATGACATTTCTACTCTTGGACAGAATACATTTGAGCATATAATTAAATATATAGTTCAGATGATGATGATGATGATGAGAAGTTGTGTAAAATTGCATGGGAGCATATATAATTCTCATTTTAGCAATTGACAAAAGGCATTAAATGCCTGTGCACGCAAACGATAGAAACCCACAGCACCTCACTTCTCTCCCACACCTTTAGCCATTAAACCTTTTTATGCCATCGCTGCAATAATTTTTTACTTTTTTCACCTTTGATCAGTTAAAAAACCTTCTATCTAAAAATAACTCACAGAAACATTCTTTTTCGTTTATATATAACAGCGACATGACAGCCACCCATAGAATATACAAGCTGATAGAAAAGAAACAAAAACTGAGAAAAAGGCTTTCTCGATTCTCATCGCCACATGCATGTGTGTGTGATGCAAAAAATAGTTGCTATTATGAGGCCTTGGAAAAAAAAAAAATATGCAACCAAAGAAACTTAAACCCTTAACCTTTTTATAGGAATTTGAAGGCTTTACCGTTAATTAAGATATCTTAGAGTCTTGTAACCCTGTAATGAAAGGTAAATCCACATTTAAAAAAAAAAACAAAAAAAAAAGATTGAAATATAGAAAAATCATACATCCACTTTTATCCCGTGGAACACCAAACGGAAAAATATAAGTGAGGAAATTCTACACTCCTCTTTAGTCTAAAGAGTATGTACAAATTACAAGGAGGGTTGTCAATGATATATCATCTGTGTGCATCTGCATGTACTTTCTATATACATATGCATTTTCTTTCTTGGGCAGGGAAAAACAAATCTATATATTAGGAGATTTTTAGGTTTTGGAGTAATTTCCAACCCTTTCTTGTTCTTTCCCTTCATCTCAAACTGATAATAAGGAATTTAATCGAGAAAAAGAAAATATAATCTTTTTTTTTTCTAAAATCATGATTTTTAGTTTGTTCTAGTGAAAAAATTGATATCATGAATTAATTCTTTTTTGTAGTATATTAATTAATGATGGATAAGTGAATGGAAATTAATATTTATGTACCCTACAAGTTACAAATATAGTTATAAATATAATTAATAATAATACTATAAAGGCCTTATTTGTTGGTTTTGACTGTTAAATTAATGTTAATGAAATGACTGCAACCAAGAAAAATTCAAACACATAAAATACATATATATCTGAAAAAAACAGGAGGGAAGAAGACATTATCCATGGATTTAGGAAATAAATAAAAATAAAGGGTATAAATAAAAATAAATAGAATTTGAAAGATCACGAGGCAGGCTACGTATGCGGTTTATTAATCACTCCTGTAAATGCTGGATGGTAGAGACATGGATAGAGACATGGTTAAAAAATTATAATGAAAAATGTCTGTAATATAAGATATGTCCAAACGGAGGTTGTTTTCAAATTGGTGCTTGCAAATCTAAAGGGACCGTGCCCTTTCTGCTACATGACACTGTTTTAAGCTCACATATCTCTTTCTAATTGATCTGTAGAGATAAGTTATGCTGTTGCCCTAAAGTTTTTATGGGCATTGCTTCTTCAAGATAATGTGAGAAATGGCCACTCGCTAATCCATTTGCTAGTTTAGTGATTGAAAACTTTTCTAACTAATCCAAATTCAATCATCCAATGTGGCCCCATTTAATTAAGTTTGTCTTAATTTAACTCAACCTTATCAGGAATAAGAATTTTGTTTTGTCTTAATAAATTTGTGGTTGGACGTGGATCTTAGATTATTGGGTTAATTAATCCAATTTTTTTTTTTTTTTTTTTTGTAAATAAATTGTGTGGTTAAGGAACGTGAGATTCTTCCAAGATTATTTGCTTAGATTAACTCATATTTTTTTTTCTTTTTTTTTTGTTTTGAGGAGAGACTTAATATAGCCTGTTTGAAAAAAAGGGATTGCTTTTGTTAATTATAGAGACAGTTCGTATTCTTAATGGTTAAGGTGACTTCATGTATAATTTTTGGGAGAGATACACTTAATGTGGGTTTGTGGAGAGAATTCTGATAGTCGTTTTTCTTTTATGATTTCATTTAGAGTCTTAAATATAACCAATTTTTTTTTTTTTTTTTTGTTTGAGGAGAATTAATATAGCTGTTGAAAATGGGTTGCTGTTAAGTTGAGAAGTTTATTCTTATTTTTAGGGATCATGAAAATTTTGGGAAGGTCTCTAATGTTTTGTAAAATCTCTGAAGTCGTTTTCTTTTTTTCATTTGGGTCTTAAAAATGTCAGTTCCCTTTCCATATTTTTGTTGGTGGATCCAAAAAAACCTTACAAATTCTTGAAAATGAAAGAGCACAGTATAATAATTGTAGGGCTGGACCACGTTTCATTTTTCATTACATTTATGTTTTAATATTACAATAACCACAGCTTAGCTTGCCTCAGCCAAAAATGGGCTTTCTCTTAACCCGCAAACGGCCTTTGGGCTATAAACAGTAGCCATTCAGATGTTGAAAAGGTAAGAAGTATGCAGCCAGGCCCAGTACAATTTGGACTATTTTGTTGGGAAAACGAAGTAATTAAAAAGATTTTAGTTAGGTTTTTATAACCAATTGAAAAGAGATTGATCTGAATTTCTTACTTTGCTAATAAATAAAAACTGTATAAATAATAATTTAATAAAAATATTAAATTAAGCGACTCCAACTTTACAAAATAGATTAAATTATACATGTAGCTGTTATAAAAAAATTAATTAAAACAATTATGTAAGATTAATAATTCATGATTACATAAACCTCATAACTAATCCACAGAGAAAACACATAATAAAATATTGGACCCTCAATAATTAATATTTTTTTCCCAAAAAATAAAAAAAAAAACCTAAGGAATTATGAATACACGAAAGGGCATTTTCATCTAATCATGCTGCTGACATTATCTTTGTTTTGTCTAACAAATTATTTATATACCTCGGTGTCACAATAATTCAATGAAAATGTTCAATTTAAATAAATAAAATAAAAAATAGAGGAAAAAGAATATCATCACACAAGCAAAATTTGATAGTAACAGTTGACAAAAGGAGTCCAATGAGGAAGCAGCAGCCAACAAGAAACTACATATAAAAGAATTTAAAAATAAAAAATTGTAAGGAAGAGCAATTAAACTGCACTGTTTGTGACTGATTAGGGTATATAAGAATTTTGATCAAAGGCTATGCATGAATGTAAGATAAGCCTTGCTTGGAATGATAAAATTTGTGTCACTTTCTTCTTATCCTTAACAGAAAATTATCATCTCTTCAATTTTCGTTTAAGCAAAGGTATGTTTATGTCCATGTCCATAGCCATAACCATCTCTCATTAATTTTATGTCACCATACCACATGTCGTCTTAATTTGGACAGTGACAGGTCGTTTTGTTTTGGTTTGTAGACACCCCGAGTTGTTTAAGCATGTTATTCTTCTTAATTTGTCTAAATAAAAAAATGAAAATATTTTATTAATTGATGAATTTGGTATTTCCTCTTTTTTTTTTTTTTTTTTTTTATCCATCTCACGTGTAAAGAATCTTAAATTGGACAGTAGAGACTAGGGTCGTTTTTGTTTCTGGTTTGTAGACCCACCCTCCTCCGATGTTTTAAGCATTAATTCCTTCTTAATTTGTCTAAATAATATAAACATATGAAAATATTTTATTAATTGATGAATTTGGGTATTTTCCTCTTTTTTTTTCTTCTTTTTTTTTTATATTTTTGAACTCTTTGACATATTCCAATATCATATAGAAATTTATTTCTCATTTCCCTGGATAATTATATTTTTTTGTTCTGCTAAGTTTTTTTTTTTTTTTTTTTTTTTTAATTTTCGAACTCTTTGACAATTCAAATAAAGAAATTATTTCATTTCCTGGATAATTATATTTTTGTCTGCTAAGTTTGAAAGAAGACTCTGTTTGGTATTTTTAATTTTCAAATGCCTTCTAGATGAGTTTAATTCACTGAAGTCGAATCTCAACAACACTTAGTTGACTGTTTACTAATAATAATAGAGTCATTATTACATTTAATTCAAGTAACTATAACTCGCCCCTTTCTTTAAGAAAATGAAATAATTCCTCAGAAATCAAACAATTCATAGTCGCATTGAATCAAT